CAAAAAAAAAATCAACACAAACCCAATAAAATAATATAAAATAAAATGAAATAAAATTAAATTAAATTAAATTAGTATAAATTAAAAAAAAAAAAAATATAAAATAAACAAAACAAAATAATTTCAAAAAACAATAAATTAAAATATATAAAATAAAGTAAATTATAATAAATTGAATGAATAAATTAAAGGTATTAAAATTTAAAATCTAACCAAATCAAATATAATACATATTTTAAATAAATTAAAATAAATAAGAGTAAATTAAATCAAATTATTTAATATCAGGTGTACAACTTTGCTTCCGCCGTTTTCCGATAGGTGGCTGTACCGGCTGAGGCTGGTCGAAATACATAGATGATAATGCATTTAAAGTGAGAAAGGACAATGCCTAACGAATTATCATCGCCGTTTCAGTGACAGTTGTTCTTGTTTTCGTATTATTCACGCTGGAAAATGTCCGTTTATGTTACAATTCGAAAAAAAAATGCAGCTGAAGCGCATCGAATGCTCTCAGAAACTTACGGTGATGCCGCTCTGAGTGAAAGAACGTGTCGGAAGTGGTTTCAACGTTTTAAAAATGGTGAATTCTATGGCGAAGACAAACATGGTGGTGGAAGAGAAAAAACCTTCAAAGATGAAAAACCAGGGGCATTACTTAATGAAGATTCGTGCCATGCCCAAGAACAGCTTGCCGAATCGTTGAGAGTGAGTCAACAAGCCATTTCAAATCGTCTCAAGGCCCTGGGCATGATTCAGAGAGAAGGAAACTGGATGCCGTACGAGTTAAAACCAAGGGACATCGAGCAAAAGTGGTCAAAAAGTACCTGGAAACGCTGGAATGGGAAGTCTTGCCCCACCCGCCGCATTCCCCAGATGTCGCCCCTTCTGACTTCCACCTATTCCGTTCAATGGCACACGGCCTGGCAGATCAACATTTTCAATCCTTCGAAGAATTAGAAAAATGGGTTGCTTCATGGATAGCGTCAAAAGAGAACTCCTTTTTTCGGGCCGGGAACCGAAAATTGCTGGAAAGATGGGAGAAAGTTGTCGCTAGCGAAGTACAATACTTTGAATAATATATCTGTAAGCAATTTTTCGCAATAAAGCTTTTAATTTTGAAAAAAAAAACGGCGGAAGCAAAGTTGTACACCTGATACAAAAGTGGCAAGAAAAATCATTAAATACTGCTGGCGTAATAATCACAAAAACTGTTATTGGAAATAAAAATAAAGTAAAATTTCCATTTTAAGCCATAACTAAACCATCAGTATAGCTGAATTGGATTTTGAATGAAATTTTGAACATCAAACTGCACAATATCTTTAGCTTCCGAATTGTGGAAAACCCACACATATTGCAATGCCTGTATACGGCAGTAAAAAAAAAAATAATAATAATAATGAACTCGCAGCCAAATAAATGTGTAAATATGTGTATTGTAGTGTTAATACAATATTTCTTCAACGCTTCGCCTATGCATTTGCCTCTTTACCTACGCATATTTATAAGTAGCGCTTGTTATAGGCAATAATCCATTTGATTAGCCTTTAGTACTTACTATATGTATTATCTATTTGTTGTTGTTGTTGTTGTTGTTGTTGTTGTTGTTGTTGTTGTTGTAATTACAATCATCATTGTTACTACTGTAGCTAGTTGTGCCTATATTATACACTTTTAAACTTTTGTTGTTGTTGTGTTTGCTGTTGTTGTTAAAACAAACTTTCGTATTGTTGTTGTTATTACCATAACATCGTAAATTACAAAATAGCTTGGCATTTTACATCAACTGCGTGAACTTACACATCATGCATGTACATATGTTTGTTTGTATGCATGTACATACATATGTAAATGAGGAAAGTTATTCAAATGCCAAAGCGTGTAGGGTGGCGCTGTTGGGCGGTATAGATTTCACTTATTTTTATTTTTCTATTTTACTTTTCCTTTTCTTTCATCGCTGTCAAGCAAGTAGGCAAGTAAGTACGCGAGTAAGTACGTATGTATGTATGTATGTATGTATGTATGTATGTATGTAAGCACCTGTTGCCACNGGGGGGGGGGGGGGGGAAATAAATCACAAAATATAACAACAACACAACTTCATTTGTGCGCTCAAATAGAAATGCTAATCAATTTGCAGAGAGATAGAAAGAAATACATACATACATATGTACGTGCACACATCAGCACTCGCTCACTCGTTGGCTCATTCACAAACAAAGATAATAACACTCACACTTGCACACACACACATACGCATTTTCATTTATTTTCTCATTTATCTTCTTAATTAATTTCACTCCTTTTTTTATTTTGAAATTTTTTTGCAAAAATTCTAATCATAATTAATAACACAGACAAAATGTTTCGGTTAAGTAACAAAGAATGTAGACATGAAGGGAAAGATAGAGAGGAAATAAAAGAATAATAATAATAAAATATGTAATTAATTAACTTACGACTAGAACTTTTGACTCTCTACTTTTCACTTGCATTTAGTTGTAGTATTCGCTCACTATTATTGTTATTATTGTTGTTGTTGTTCTGGTCGCTGATAACTGATTTTTTATTGTACTACAATTTGTTTTTATTTTTTATTTTTTTAAATTTTTTATTTAACTTTTGCCAATTTTCACATTATAACACACACATACATACTCGTATATACATTAGTATGTACATATGTATAAGAAACGTCGTTTATTTTTTTATTTAGACTTTACGTGTTTAACAACAAAGCGACAGAGCGACAACGACGGCGACGCATTAGCAGAACAGTTGAGCCCTCTCGTAATCAACGCGACTTGACTTGACGAAACTTTTAATATAACTGAAAAACCATTCGCTGCGGTCGCTGAAGTTCAGAGGGGCTCCACAACAACATCCAAATAGCTAAACAGCTAAACAGCAAAAAAGCAAAACATACATTCAACCAAACCATCAACCGACCAGAAAACCAATCAGCCGACCAACGAGCCAACCATACAGCCAGCCAGGCAGGCAGGCAGTCAGTCAGTCAGTGACGCTCGCTTAGTCACAAATAACGCGCAAACCCTCGCAGCTAAAAGCTAAAATACAATGTGCCAGCCAGCACTCTAGTCCCCGTTGTCTGTTTGAATGTAAGCGTATGAGATGAAGTGCTGGATCGGTATCATATAAACAGATGTACGTTTGAGCTTCAGCAAGCCGCTGTGCTAAAGCGTATCACTAAAACTACCACCATCACTGGCATTGAGCTGTGCCATACTTACATTTAGCTCATTCAATATTGTATATAGTTCGAAGTATGGATTTGAACTTAGAACAAGCAAGCTGGCTGAGCATGTACAGTGTGTAAGACTGAGGAAATTTATGTAAACCGAAGTGATTTGCGGTTGACGTTTTTTTATTTTACTGTATTTTAATTTATTTTACTTTATTTTAATTTATTTTATTTTATTTTATTTTTTTTTCTTTTATTTTATTTTATTTTATTTTATTTTATTTTATTTTATTTTATTTTATTTTATTTAATTTTATTTTATTTTATTTTATTTTATTTTACTTTACTTTGTTTTATTTTATTTTTCTCACTTTTTTTCTTTTTTTTTATATTTTTTTTTTATTTTATGAAAATGTCTAGATTAAAATTTATCCATGAATTGATATTCAGGAAATAAGAGGTTCCACTGTGCGCACTGCACCGCCCTGAAAGGCATTTTATATTGTGTTTCCAAAAAAAAAAGCAAAACGCACATCTGATCGTAGCGAGAATGCTATTTTGCCTTTTTTTGTAGTACTCATGGTTGCATGTCTGTCTGGTTGTCCGTCTTTTTCTCTTGAATGAATGGTTTGACTTGTTGACTGGGAAGCTGGCGAATTTAGGGTTTCAACGTTGAAGTTGGATTGATTCCGAGCACAAGTGAATGAATGCGATCATATATACATACATATAAGCCTATATGTATGTAATTTGAGGGGGTGTATCGCATGTATAACTGAAAATATAGGGAACAAAACAATGGTATTGTAGTAATATTGTAATTTTTAATATATACTCTACTACCTTCGTGCAAGCATTTTTATATATGTCTATAAATGTTTTGAATCCTTATGCACGGCGGCTTTATTTTTCGATATCAAACCAATTTGATAGAAAGATTTAAAATAAATAAAACTCAAAACTCATATTAATTTTTTAATTAAACAAATTCAATAAAAATAATTAAAACAAAGGCAAAGCAAAGTGAATTAAATAATAAAACAAGACCAAAAGATAATGAAAGAAATTAAAAGAAAAGTTAAAGCAGGTAAAAAATAATAATGCATAGAATTTACAAAAACTAATTATAATAATTTAAAATAAAATTAAGTGAAAATAGCGAAATATTAGTAAGAAAAAGTTTAATAAAAAATAAAATAATAAATAAATTTAATATTATAAAAATGAATTAAATAGAGTAAAGTGCAAAATTTGAAAATCAAGAAAAGAAAATGAAACAAAAAAGGCAAATAAACTAAAACAAATTAGAGAATATGAAATATTGTGATAAAATTAAAATTAAAAAATGACTATTAATAACATTAATTAAAATTAAGCGTAAAGAAAAACAAAATAAAGTGCAAGTAAGACTGAATTAAAACAAAAATTTTAACAAAATATCAAATAAACAAACAAACAAAAAATTATATAAAAAGAAAAATAAATTGAAATAAAATAAATTTTGTTGAAATATTTTTCATTTAGTATTAATTGTGACTACGAGATTCGTGTTTCGCTTTTCTCTTTGTATTTTACTCAACAGTATATAGTATAACGTTACTTTTATTTTTCATTTATTTTTTGCAACAAAACATTCTTAAACAAGAAAATATTGCGTGTTACTTTCGGTATTTAAGTTCTTTTCATTGAATAAACAATTTTATTTCACAATCGTAAGCATTCTTTTATACATACTTATTTCAAAAAAATTTTTTCTTCCCTGAAAATATTTGAAAATATTTACTTACTCGTATAGAATTAAAGCAAGTTAAGTCGGTAAAAATGATATGTTATCAAATCATGAAACAATTAAAAGTAGAACCAGCCAAGGAATCACCAAACCATTCAAAAGCAGAGCCAGTCAAGGAATCACCGAAATTTTTCAAAATTGCGCAAGCCAAGGAGTCACAGAAATGCTCAAAAGTAGAGCAGTCGAAGCCAAAAGTAGCTTATCAGATGAGTAAGTAAATGAAACATTGTTGTCTTTGGCAATAATATTATTCTTGATAATTAGTGTTTGATTAAAAAGTTCTTAGCCAATTAATACTACAATATTATCCAAATCAAGCTTACGCTGTTCTGCATACTTATTTCTCTCATGAACCTTAGCAACATCGGATTTAAAAGAGGAATACAACAGAGCTTTCTATAAAGACAATGAGTTGATAACACCGATTATACAACCCTTTTATACTAAGCAAAATATAAGAAAGTTCCCCTACATAAGTGACGAAGAGAAGAAGCAATATGATTGTATAGACAATTACCTACAAGTGGTGGATCTTTGTACAGAAATTTCCAAAGAAGAGAAAATGGTTGATCAGAGTGTTATCGATCGAATGCGAGCCATTGCAGAAAAGCAATACGAAGGTACATGCATGTGCATATGTATGTAACGCTGGTGGATTTTATTAAATCTATTCTCTTCTATTTACTCTTCAATAGTATATGCTGAATTGAAAAGAAAAATGAACATGGATACAGCCTGCCATTATGAAAGAGAATTAACTGGCGATCTAAATATAGAGAAGAATGTGGATGAAGATAAAGCTCAAGCACTAATATGTAGGTTCAAATGGTAAAATAATATCGCGTTCCATTTCTTCTGGCACCGCTTCAAACTAACTTTAAATGCTTTGTGACAATAATTAAAAAAAAAAATAAAATTATTATTAAATTAATGCATGCTATATAAACAATTATTTTACAAATCAATCTGCTTCAAAATAATAAATATATCCGAACATTATTCACAAATAAAGAAGGACTCACAATATGCTGGCGAATTTTTAAATAAAATAATTATTAAAAAAATATTTCTTAAAAAAAAACCATTTTTTGAATTTAAATTTTTTTTTTAATTTTCCTATGTTAACAGAAATGAATAATTTCAAAAATTTGTAAATTATGAATATTTATATTTTTTGGAATGAATTTTTTTAATTTCTTTTTGGTTTCTTTTTTATATAAAATATTCGGCCTTGTACAAACAAATTTTGCAACAAAACGCCATTAAATTCATTTACGGGAAGCTCCACCGTATTTGGGTTTGTTTATTCTATGAAGCGCCTAATTGTATGCATCAACCATTCGATTATACACAAAAGATTCCACAATATATTGTTCAGTTTTAATTAAATAGAAAGTAGCTTCCCACTCTCTGCCAATTGATTTTCTTTTGGTACTGTCACTCGTTTCCTAATCAAAACACGTGTTATTGAATTAAATAACATATATACGTGCATATACATATGTATATGTACAAAATTGCCAAAAAAAAAACCCATAAACGTTTTCCATTATCGAGCAAATAAATATACTTTTACAAATCGTACATGCTGGTAACTACTATTATGCAACAACAAAAATAAGTGATATCGCTAATTTGCAGATTTTAAATAATTTTAAGACATTTTTGACACTTGTGAGAGTATAATTTATTAATTTTTGCTTTTATTATTAAACAAATGAATACAAGAACAGCAGGGGGTTACACTCAAATATGTTTTATATATGTAATTATGCACTCATGTTTGCTTAGAAATGAATCGAATGCCAGACAACAGTGGCAAACACGATAATCCCCATTGATTTAACACAAGAATAGACTCATTATTCAACATTTCAGTCCTGTTAATAATTACAAAGCGTTTCTCTTTAAAATTTTTATACATTGAATTGTACATACGAACATACATATAAAGCGCTTAATGAAATAATAGTCATTCATAAATTTTGCATGCCAGTATTTCTAGAGAATTTTCTAAAAGCCAATCTAATGAAGATTGACTGCTTGAAAGAAATGAAGGAAACTAAGACAAAGTCGCTATAGAAATAAGCGTTTGAAAAAGTAGGAAAAGTCAAGTAAATTTATTTTAATTTATTTTATTATCATGTATTTATTTTTTTTTTAATTCGTTTATTTTAATTAAGTTCTATTTCATTATATTTTCATTTTATTATATATTTTGCTATTTTATTTTTATTTTACTTTCCGTTTATTAAAGCTTTTGTTTATTTTGACTCATTTTAAATTATTTTATTTTGTTTTATTTCATTTTTTTTTTAATTTTTTTTATATTTTATTTTATTTTATATAATGCTATAAAATGCTATTTTATTTTATTTAACTTTAATTTATTTATTTCATTTAATTTTTGGTTAAAATATTTTATTTTATTTCAATTTATTTTATTTTATTTTTTTAATTTTATTTTATTTTATTTTATTTTATTTTATTTTATTTTATTTTATTTTTTTTTTCTAATTTTTTATTTTATTTTATTTTTTTTGTTCTATTTTTGTTTATTTTTTTATATTTATGCATTTTTAACATAATTTTTAAGAATGTTAACTAATTAAATTCTTGAATTTTTTTCTTCTAGTGTTTAGAGAGGGCTTTGATCTAAAATTTATTACCGCTGAGGTTTTGAATCCTACTCAAGCCCGAGAAACACGGTTAATCATAGACCGGCCTTTTAAACTTTCAAGAAATCTGTCTTCAACAGTATTTGTCGTCTATCTGTTTTAAGCTTCTCCGTATAAATGCTTAAACATTATTAAACAAATTTAAATTTTGTTTTTTTTTTTTACTTACCGCTATTGCTGCGTACTATTGCCGTATTCGTTGCTTTTGTTTTTTTCGTTGTTAGTTTTTCATTTGCATGACCGCACTTGCTGCAGCGCTCAGCTGGTTGGTTGCTACGAATTGGGGGAGGGGTGAAATTTTTTTTATGAATAGTAAAGATAATAAAAGGCTATTTTTAATTTATTAAAAAACGAAAGGAAATTTCTTACTTAACGCTGTTAAAGAGAAATTAAAAAATAAACTCATTCAAGAAAATGTGAAAATTCATAGAAAATGGCGATGGAGCGGGTATAAATCTATAATAAAATTATTATTATCATATTTTGTTTTTATTCACAAAACTTTAATTTTAAGCTACAAAATATTTTAATTCAACTTTAAAAAAAAACACTTTATTCATTGCAAATTTACCAACTGAGCGCCAAAATGAGTGAGCTGCGTGCGGGTGTTGCACGTATAAGTTGCACCAATTGCTTATCATCGAGCTGCGTTTTCTGTTCCTGTAAGTAGCATTTTTTATAATTTTTTCTGATTTCCTCAAATCCACTTTATTATAAATTATTTTTCACCTTCATGCTTTCCGATTTCGTTAATTTGGTGGTGCGAAATTTTAACATTTTAATCTCTTTTGTGTCAAATACAAATATGTTCCGACTAAACACGTTGCGTTTTTAAAAAGAACTGTGGAAGTGAATCTGTTTTGCTATATTTCCCTCTTTGTTTTGGGGGGCGTAAACTCTTGTCCAACGCATTCATGTGTATTATACACACATATGTACATACATACATGTGCTTAGAAAAAAAAAACAATTCATTTATCTGTTGTCATTTATACTCTTACGCACAAATTTAGTCGAATTTGATAAGATTTAAAAGTTATCGGCAGGCGGTAAAGAAAACAATGAAAACAAGCGACACCGTAATTTAATAACTGTAACTGGGACTGGAAAATTAAATATATGAAATTACTCGATGTATAACAGTTCAATAGTCTATGGCAAAATCGGCCAAAAAGCATGCATATTGTCGAAAGAATAATGGCGAACTGACTGAAAATCCCAAATCCACTTTTGAAAAAGCCCCTAGTCGACCAGACATGAAGGCCTATGACTGTCCACTTTAGATATTTCATACAGAACACCCTAAATTGTTTAATAATGATGAACTCTCTTCAGTTTCTATATGAAAATTTCACTGATGAAATTTCTAAAAACCCAAATCAGCTTGTTCCACTCTAGACATTGGGAAGTTTGAACCCTTTTTTGTGTGCATAAAAACTCTATAGAAAATGAGAAAAGAGATGAGCTCTCCTTATTAGACCTTCATAAAATGTTTGTTAAGGATTCTACTAGACTGTTAAGGTCATTACTTCAAATTGCTTAAAATTCTTTTATTTATTCTGTCCTCACTGCATAGATGTCAACTATCTCGGACTCGTTGACTGTCAAGAGAGCTAGAGAGTTATGTAGCTATTACCTTCCCTTTAGAAGAATACTGATAGCATTTGAATTATATTTCCTTCACTCCGAGTTACCGCTGGGGTTTGCTCGTAGAATGTCGGGGTTTTCCACATTATAGTCATATATATACTATGTTGTAAAGGAGGGGAGTAGCACCTCCCTTCCTAAATATTTAGCCTATCTAACATCGGGAATAGGACCTCACCTAATTGTGCTTAGGCTACCTGCCGCTAGAACGGTTTAGAACAGGTCTCTAGTAGCGGTGAGGAGTCTTACCTCTTCTGGGAAGGCAAGTAAGAGGTTATACTCCCCTCATTTACAACAGAGTACTGCATTTTATTTAGGGGCGGCGAGTGAGCACACCCCCTTTTGGAAGGTAACTACTTAAGCTATTATCCTGTATCCTTATCTATCGTTTAAGTGGCATCTTTACTTTTTAAACTCCTCCCGACGCAGACGAAGAGCTCGAGCACGAGTCCCGAGGGATCTGAGTAATGCAGGCACAATTAATATCTGGATATTTAGACGACTTTTTTTAACTTAACTAGACATACCCAACGTATGTCCTGCATGCGATGAGACCCAACTCATTTCACTCGTCTTTCCCTGCGGTCCCCTCCGGTCGAAATAGCACGTTTTGTGGACCTCGTGGGCCTGCTCGTATTTCATAATGTGAGGTCTTAAGGCTTTTCTGTGTAAATATTCCAGCTAAGAAATCTTTCATGGAAGTACCAGGTGCTAGTCGGCGAGTAAGAGAAATACTTCCAGTTCTCTTTGGCGAAATCAAATGGGAAGTAAAATGATGCTAGTTCCGACGTAAAAAATTTCATTCACTAAAGTTCGAAATTTTTCCACAGAGAAAATAAAAAATACAACCTTTTGGTCTTTTTATATAAATAAATAATTATTATTCCTTGGCGACGTTACTTATCACAAAGACTTCTTATGTAAATATAAATATTAATTAATTTCTAAACTTACTAGACTTAGATTGAACACTTAAAAACTGGCATGCATCCCCTCAACACCCCTACTACATCGTACAGATGCCACTTTTCGTAAACACCTGGCCACACGTCTCATCCACACGATCCCAAATCAACGATCCAAACCGACGTGCCGTATAGTCCACCATTAGCTGAGCCTTACAGTTGACACACTTATCGCGATAGTGGAAAAGTAGGCCTACACTCTGCGGCACCGTCATCTCCGTATAACCGGGCACAGCGCGCCACACAAAATGATTACCCATCTCGATAATGGAATGTGTATTCACAATGCATTTACTCCGCTGATGGGCGGGCATTATTTCCAAAGTGCGACGCACCTTCATCTGCGTATACGAGAAGCGATTACGCGTATGCGCTGGCATACTAAAACTATCATTACTATCGAGCTTATAGAAGAAGACATTGCGAAAGACATACGCCGAAGTGCGACCCTCGTCGCATTGATGCATGTACTGGGCTAAGGAATTGTGTTTCAGCGGTATGAGTACCTCATCGAGATCCACGATTGCGGCATACCGATAGTTGTCCACGGTCATAGCGCGGTAAACGCAATCGTTTATTTGTGCCATTATGGCTGCATAGTGGACATCGTTTAGTAGTTCTGTTGGTACATTCCACTGCAACACATCCGCAATGCCCTCACGTTGGTAATGTTCCAATAGACGCAACACATCTTCGCTACTGGAGAGATGGTAAAAGTAGAAGTGTCGTGCGCCGAGTATGCGGTACATTTCGACAAATTCTGCAATGCGTAAGGCGTCCGTATAGTTTTGTTGTAGCGGACCGACGCACACCGACAACACCGGTCGTGAGATGGCGAACAATTGTTCTATGTCGCGTGGGTAACTGAAAGAAAAGGTTGAACATTTTTTTTATTACACTACATGCCAGAGCCGCTGTAGCTACCTGATTGGCACAAATGTTGGACTCAGTTGGCTTAATCTATTGGAGGCATAAGATATGGCGACCGATTGTGGCAAGGACATATTGCTGTTATTGCGGTTCACATACAGTGGACACCGAATGGAATAGGGCGCGTACTTAAAGCCATGATCTTCATTCATCGGCTGCACTCTGCCGAGGGGCACTTTTTCATCAATAAAATTTTCGAATCTGTGTGGGATTTCAGAGCACAAAAGCATTATTTGTTCATAACTGTAAATTAATTATGATTACTTACCTGATGGTGCAAGTAACGGCATCATTGAATGGGCGTGGTAGGATGGCGAATATACGCAACGAACCTATTGGCACTCTCGTTTTGTGATTAATTATGGTTTCTGCAAGGAAAAAGAATTTTCTTAGGTTATTACAAGCAAATAAGCTTTAAAAGAATCAAAGAGGGAGACACAGAAAGAAAGATAAAGAGAAAGAGAGACAGAGACAGGAGCTCCTTTAAGAAACCACTTACTTACTTACACCCTGCGAGAAGTGGTTGCAAACCCATTTGGCGCCTTGGGTTACGAGTTTCACTAAAGTCTTACTGCAGAAGCAGCAGTGAGCGGGCGTGGGCCTTGTAGCAAGCCTTGCCTCCCGCTCAGTGACTTTATCCGCATCGCAGTGAGTTCTGAGCAGTGACAGATCTAATGTTCCACCGATTCCTCCCCATCTATGTCCCGGCAGCTGCTGCCGAAATCATTTGAGAAGTGGCCCCTTCCTCTACCAAGAGTCTCTATAAGAGGGTGCCAGTTTTTATGCTTATAGAGGTTTTGTTTAGAAGAAGTAAAGACTTAGTTCTGTTCACCTTGATCAATGGCTAGATTTGTCTTGTCATATTACAGGTGGTTTCACGCAGGCATCTTATCTAATACTTTGCCGACTAAAAAGTGTTATGTCCACCGTAAGTCTCATTGCAGCGCACAATATGTGGTCTTAGTTCCCATTTCTTATCCATAGCCGCCTTGCAGGCGTAGAGTAGAGTCATAGCTCCCTTACCCTTTTCTGCATTTTTCCGGTTCTAAGGGCAATGTTGTCGGTGCATGCCCCGGTGTCGCAACCCGTATTTATTGTCTTGCGAAAAGGTTAAAGCAACCTCGAATGAAAACTAGTAGTTTTGATGACGGCCACAGAATAGACGGGACAAGAATTAGAAGGAGTGAGTTCTTGCAACACTTACAGCAGTAGCCATATAAAGAACATGTGGTGTAAGCTTTGTGGTAGGAGACCAAACCGGAAAGTCTTTCATCGGCTCCTTCGAAGCTAGTTAGAAGATCGCTGATCTCCACTCAAAAATGAAACAGACCGTATAACATTTATGTTTCTGGCCACAGGGCTCTATGACCCCTAAGAAAGGTGAAATATCTCCATAATTAAACAGGAAAAACGTAAATGAAGAAGTCCAATGAATAAAGGAAACTGAGAGAAGAAAATGTCATCTTGGTATCGAATACTTCCTTATCGGATCTGAAGTAAATATTGGCTCAAGAGTAAACACTATATTTTCGCTGCCGGCCTCTCTTTTTCAAATTAAAAGTTTTTATTTGGACTATTGGCTCGTAAGTATAAACTTAGAGTAAATTAAGAGATATAGAAGATTGCTTTTGCATCGAAAAAGAAAGTTACTTAGGTCTAAATAGATTCTGAATAGATTCTGTAGAAGTTTTCATCGCATTGCGCAATAATTTTAAATAGATCAATGACATTCCTTTTCTTTGGAATTACTAAGGGATTGATGGAGAGAACATCAAACTTCCTTATTCCCTTGTACTTCGCTCTATCACTTTCTATATCCACTCGCACATCTCAAACCTCTTTCGTCGCCCACTCTCTCACCATTACTAATTTCTCTCACCCTTTCCGTTTTCACTCACCCAAAACATCCAGCCGGTCATCGAAGTATGCCGAGTAAATCAAATGATTGGCTTTGCTGCCAATTTGACGCCATGTATTGTTGTAACTCCACGATGGCTTCATATAATTAAAGGTCTTTTGTAGCGCACCGAGATCTTCACGTAACTTAGAGTCCTGTGAGCAGAAGGTAATGACAGAATTATTGCAGTTTACTGACAAAAATAGTCGTCACTTTAATAATTTGGCGAAATAATTCCACCGATCGATTTTTCTTTCAATTTCAATATAAATTTTTTTTTTAAATGTTTTGTTTTGAAATCTTTTATTCAATTTTTTTTATATATGCTTCTTTTTAATATGTTTGTGTTTGTTTAAAAAAAATATATTTTATTATAGTTCATTCTAGAACATTTTTTTATATATTTTTTTTATTTTAATTTTTTTATTTAAATTATTTTTAAAATTGTTTTAGTGATTTCGTTTTCGTTTTTAGAATTATTTTAGTGAAAAATTATTAGTTATTGATTAATTACATAATATAATGTATATAATTGCAGGCCGATAGCCTTAGTAGCTAGTAAATAAATAAAATATAATTGGCGCTTGTATTCGCAGGAGCGAATTTCGTCGAATTTATGGTGTGTTTCTTGCTGTTTTTCAACAAATGATTCATTCATTATATATTTTTTTAATTTTTTAATTCATTTTTTTTTTTATTTTTTAATTATTTCGGTAAAAAATGGTTAGCTTCTACAAAGTTGTTTAATATACAATATTTATTATTTGTATTATTTTTATTTCTTTAAATAATTTTCTTTGTTAATTTTTTTTATTTTTTCGGTAAAAAATGATTAGCTGGTACAAAATTGTTTAAAATAAATTTTTTGATATTTTTTTCAGTTTTATTAACTTTTTTTTGAAAACTTGTTTAACTGTTTTACTAATAAAATTTTTAGTTTTTAACTTTAAAGGCTTATAAATTATTTTTATTGAAATTTTGAAACATTTCTCTCTTTAAATTTCTCAATAAGAATTTTTTTGAAATATTCTTATCTTTTATTTGTTTATATCAACTTTTCTTGATATTATTTTTTAAATTTTTTAATGGAAAATTGTTAATTTATAATTTATTATAGAAATTAAAAAATATGCTATTAAGCCTTTTATATCTACTTTTTTAATTTTTTTTAATATTTTGCTAACTGTTTTTGAAACTCGCTTGAAAACATCTTATTCTGTTTATTTATATTAATAATATTTTTATTTTAGTTTTTATTGATTTTATTAATTTTTTGGAAGTAGCGAAGAATTTTTTTATTAAAACTCGTAATCATTTTTTAGTACAGTTTTAGTACAAATTCTGGTAAGTTAATTTTTCGACCTTTGAATGAAATTATTGAGTTTTTTTTTTAAATTTGTTTTAATATTTAATTGCATTAATTTTATAAATTAAAAAAATTCTGCTAGTTTATTATTCATTATAAACTCAAACTTTTTTATGTATGTATTTTCATACTTTTTAATAACTTAGTTTTTGAAAATTATGCTAAATTTTAATGTTGATTTCATTGTTTTCTTATATTCATTGCTAAATTATTTCATTAATATTTTTTTTTAATTATTTAATTAGTATTGTTAAATTTTTTTGAATATTTCTTAGAATTGTTTATTTTTTTGATCTTAGTTCACTGACATTTTTTACTAAATAATATATTTCTTTTTAACTTTTAATTAATTTATAAGCATTTTTTTAATTATGTTTTAAATTTTGAAAAAAATTTTATTTTCCTAAGGAATTTTATTTACAACTTGAAAAAGTTTTAATAAATACCTTTGAGTTAATAATTCGTTATGGAAATTTTTTTAAATTTTTTTCCTTTAAATATTTAATTTTATAAAGTTTTCTTACAAAATTTTTATTGATTTTTTAAGTTTTTTATTTATTTTATTAACAATTGCTAATTTATGCTTTATTGGAGGCAGTTTTTAAAATAAATTATAATATAATTTATAAATCATATTAATTTTTTTTTAAACATTTTCAGAATATTTTTTAATTTATATTTTGTAGTTGAATTATGAAACATCGCAAAGATTTAATTAACTATGCTTTTTTTATTATATATAATTATTTTAAATTTATTTAATTAATTTTGTTATTTATTAAAATTTTTTTGTTTCGTTTTTATTTTTATTTTTTAAATGTTATAAATGAAATATTTTCAATTTGCGATTCATTGTAGCCCACAATTGTGTTGTTTACGCATCTTTAACACACATTTTCTCTTTTTCCTTTTTTTTGTACATGACGTGCCTTAACATATCTGTGAGTATTTGTTAGTATGTATGTATGTAAATATTTGCTTACTAGTGTTGTGCGCACTGAGATATAGGCGAGCACAATGATGGCCAATGCCACCGCACCCGACAGCAGAAAGTACACATATTGCGCTTGATTGCCGTTGCTTGACAGCATTATTTATTTATTATTATTATTTTTTTTTTCTTTTTGACTCTTCTTTTCTTGCTTATTTATTCTATAAGATAAATTATTATTTAATTAAACAAAATGAATCGAATAAGACATTACACTTCACTCAATCGTTTCGCATTTTCGATATTTTGCTTTCCACTGCCCTAGCGCCTGTGCATATGCTTCATATCGTGCGCAAAGCAATTGTTTTACTGTTCAATGGATAGCCACGCTTGTTGGACTTCTTCGGTTGCTACCAGCCAACCGCTTGGCTGTGATTCAGGTGGGCACTTGAATAGCTTTTGATGTGCTTACAAGTGCAAAGCTGTCAATTCTCTCACGGTCATTACTACTTAATTATCGTGGATTTTTCTTTGACTTGTTAGTTTTTGTTTGTCTGTTGTCTTAGGGCTTACTATTCTATTCTTCATATTTTTTTCTGTTCCTTCAGTCTGCATTTCTTTTTTGAATAATTTATGGGAAATTTTTTTATGTATAATTCTCTTTTGGTATTTGGTATTGATTGTTATTGGCGTTGTATCGAGTGGTGTACTTATTAGGGTGGTACTTATTTTGTATTAAACAATGAATTCTGATAGAACAAATTATATAAGAATTATTAACTCCATGCCTGAAGCATGCAAACCTATTGCTCTGTTGTGGCAGCAGCTCTTCGCCTCTTTTGAGGTTAGTTTGAACTACTCTTTAGAATAACTTTTTCTTACTATGAGGCCACTTTTCGAGGCGCTTTAAGTAATTCAGCACGTTTCCGCCAACGAAAAGCCTTTCAAGATCATCCCAAAGTAGTGTAAGTCATTTTTCGAATCACGATTTGTAAAGTGGCTGATGCGAAGACAGGACATATGACTCATATAAAAACCGCGGTATGCGAGTACTAGGTGAATAGGCTGACCAGACCAGACCAGACAATGACAGTTGTAAATGTAAAAATTTTAAATTTTGGTGAATCGTATGTTTTTGTTAGCCGAGGCAGGTAAGCGCGACATGTGCTTCACAGTAGAACACAACTTGGGAGATAGCAGAGCAACTGAATATGTCAAACTGGAACTGCTAACATGAACCACCATTATGCAAGTTGCAGTACTCAATCCGTGTGTAGTCTTCGGTTGTGACTAAAGATAACAAGCTTCAGAGCCACTCCGACTTAATCGGTTTAAAGGTTCGCTGAAGTCTCATTACAACGTCTGTTCACCAGAGTAAAAGGTGCAAACGTGCGCGGCTCTTAAAGAAAGCGGCTCGATCTAATGTTGTGCACTGGATTTTGTATCCGTCCCATAAAAATCAGTTTCAATTAACCTCACTTTAATTTTCAATTAGATACCGCACTTTTGATGATGATCTTTGTAAATATGAAATGTCCGATCTCTAAATAGAGAAAGCGTCTCTACCCAGCTGCTAAATCTTATTGTAAAACTGAAGACTGACATCACTGCCGTTCAAAACATGTCCCCCTCATAAGGAAGGGAAGGACAAAACCGAGCTCAAGCGTATGACTTTCACTACAGAGACAATATAAAGAACGACAAATTTGAAGTCGGAATAGCGGGGGTAGAAAGATAGATTCGGTCGCACTGTCCTAGCATTCAACCCTGTGGATGGTTGTCTGTTGTAATAGTTTCTAGCTCAAGGGAACTAATTAAACTACTCGGTTGTCTCTAAATCGTTAAACTTTCAGACCGATCAAGTTGTGATGGAAGGACGGCAGAGTTCTGAAAGTATGCACACTCCACTGACCCAAAATCGACTCGGGTCATTATTATGTAGCAGCAATGATATTCACACGCCTCTCGACGGCCGAAGGGCTTTCTACTCGACTTGCACTCCAGCTCTTTGAGAGCACTGATCAGCAGCTTAGCGTAAGACAACTGTGGTACGAAATTTCAAGCTCCCTATATACAGCTGCAAATAAAACTATTGGATTTCGGCATGAGCTAAAAACAACTGATACGTTAAGGATTGCAATGCCGCAGTGGAGAGAAAGCAAGCTGTTTACATCGCAATGGTACGATCGGCCACTACACGTGTGCGGTGGGTTAGATACCGAGAATTGAAGAGGTTTCAAGATCGCAGACGCAGAGATCGGCTCTCTTGAAGTTGTAGACAATATCGTCTATATTGCAACCAAAAACAAGGTCAAACTGAAAATCCAACACAGAATCACTCTTGCCAATAGATGCTTTTGCAGAAGCGTGCGCGATTCGGTGGAACGGTAGGCTGTACGAGATATACGAGGGCATTCAGCGAAGCCAGATAGAACGACTGCTAGCTCATGTGGCCAGTATGTATAAGAATATTCCAGCTTTGAAAGATTTCGATGCGGGATTCGACAGTAGAAGTGGAGCAAGCGGAACACCTCCGTTTAGTTGGAAAGATTAGGTGACTTAGGATCTTGTGGAGAATGAACATTTATTTTACATGGAATTGCGTTATTATAATTGAATGAAATTCCCAATACGCTTAGCGAACCAACTTTACTTAAGAGCTTTTTCATACTCGACAGCATTATCGCAGTAGAATTTCAATTTAAATTTCGTATTAATTTCATTTTAGCGGTCACATCAGCTAAGTAATTTAAAAAATATCAGAAAAAAATTTCATTTCGTCACCATGAAAATTATTATTAAAAATATGACTCAGATCTTTAGAAGTACAAAATTAGAAAAACAAAATGATTAAATATTTTTTAAATTATATACATAAATGACAAATGAATTGAAAATTCCAGCGCCTAACAAATTAATTTCTTTTCAAAATTACCGCAATTATACACTTTAAATGTGAAACAAAAACACTTGTTGATCAAAATAAACATTCTCGAAAATTTTCACTCAATACACCATGAGTATGTATGTATATACTCGCATGTATGTATGTATGTAAGCAAATTAGTAATTTATTCACTTATGTGCAGAGGCGCTCCGCACTTGTACACAACACAAATTCACTACTCACTGGCAACAACAAAAAGCACATAGGAAAAAAAAAACCAAGAAAAAAATCTTAAAATTTAACAGCTGTTCCTAGGACTTTCACTTCCACGCGGCAAAAGTACAACCGCGAGCGCGTTCGAGTTGTAAATGTGGCATATTCTTAATTTTGATTCGGATTTTGATGAGATGTTGTGTGCTATTTTTCTATTTTTGGCGGCGCACGAAGTGTATTGATGGAGAAATGCAAAAAAAAAACACAAACAAAATAAAAAAAAAGAGAAGCAAAGAAACCTAAGAAATGAAAAAAATTAAAAAAAAATATTAAAAAAAAATTAAAAAAAAAAATTCAAACAAAGACCTTAATGGAAGACCAGCCGCCAAGTAAGATGTCTCCAATATGCTTTTGTATGTGTATTCTTTTTGTTATTGCTTTTTGAATGTTTTCACTTTTAACGGCGCGTGGATTATTTGTTTTGTAAATAATTTTGCAACATACAAACGCATTTAAATGCACACACACACGCACACACATATGTACATATGCCTATACATACACTCAAACCATCTGCCAGCTTATTAGCCAGCTACAAGCACACTTTCCTTTTCTGCTTATTTTCTTCATTATTTTCGAAAAGCACATTCACTTTTCCAACCAAAAATTGCGCGACGCAGCAAGCACGTTGCCTGATTGCGTCGAGTGGGTGTGCTCGGCACGTAAGCGACAGACGCCCACTGGCTGTGCACAACAACACGCTCATATTTGTATTTACTTTAGTATTTAAGCATTTTGTTTGGAAGAAATTTAATTTAAAATTTTAATATTTTTCGAATTGCTTGGTTTCTTGCTAATATTCTATGTGCCTTTAAAGCCACTTCAACACTTACAAAACTATGTCGACCAATTTTACAGTACAACAAATAAAATACAACAAATAAACCGATAACACAAAGTGTCGCACGTTGATTTGGCCGCGCCGACATCGCACTTCCACTCCACTCAACTTCAAAATAATAATAAATACTTTATGCCATTTGTACGTGCAATAGCACTTACCCAAGGTATGTACGTACATACATATGTATGTATATTTTATCTACAGTCTTCTCACAACTGATAAGGATTTTTTGGTTTTCAATCCAATATTTTTTGCGTCAATTACGGTTCATATTCGATAAGCAGTGTAGATGACGTGTAGACTTCGAACAAATTGACCTTCTTTTTTTTTAGTTATATTAACAAATAATTATTTAACATGATTGTATGTAAACAATTTTATTGGTTAACATTTTGGCGCAAAAAGCGGAAAAATTCAAATGATGATCAGAGAGTCCTAAGGCGGCGCTGCGAATTGGGCATGGCAGCAGATTTCAAATAAGTACTGTTAGTCTTTGACGGAGTATCATAGTGTTGGGCGGTCTGGCGTTATCAGTTGGAACATCATGTTAGTTCAGCACAGTTTTTTCAAGATTTCTTCGTTCATTTTCCCTAGTTGACAATAGTAGAGAGAATCAGCAGATTGGTAGTATGGAGGCAACTCGAAGAATACCATACCATTATTTGAAGTATTACATCGTGGGCTGTCATTTCCTTGATTCCTGATCATCATAAACAAACCAGTTGTTTTTATTATACCCATTAAAATACGTATTCAAAGTGGGTGATTTTTGTTGCGATTCAGCAAAGTGTCGCATATGTAAAAAATAATAATTTTTGGCATTTTTTTTTTGCTTTAATTTATTTAATTTTTTTTTATTACATTTACCGTAATTTTTTTAATTATATTATGTGCATAATTTTTATTTTAATAATTCATTCACATTAATTAATCTTAGTTCATCTTTTATTATTTAAATTACTTAATTTTATTTCAATATTTTTTAAATAAATTTCTTTTATTTTAATTTGTTTCTTTTTATCTTTTTACTTTATTTGATTTTATTTTATTTCTAAAAAATTGTTTTATATAATATTATATTCTATTTAAAATATTTTGACATTTTTTTAAATTTATTATATTATATATTAGTTAATATAATTTATCTATTTTTTACTTCATTTCATTTGCTTTTTACTTTTTTGTTTTATTTAATTTATTTTGTTTTATTATATTTTATCAATTTTTTCACTTCATTATAAATACTTTGTTTTAATGTATTTTTTTTTTATTTCCTTCTTATATTTTATATAATTTTTATAATTTGGTTTAAATTATTTTATTTTTTGTTTTGTTCCACTATTTATAATTTTGTTTCCTTTGTATTTTTATTTATACTATTTTATTTATTTCATTTTATTTTATTTATGTTTTTTAGTAGTTTATAACATTTAATTTTGTTGTATTTTATCCTATTTTATTTAATTTTATTTTACTTTTTTTTGTTTTATTTTATTTAATAATTTTTTATTCAATTGAGTTATAATTATTTATTTTCGTTTATATAATAAACTGAATTTCATTTAGGTTTTTATTTTTAATTATTTACTAAATTTGTTTTGTTTCATTCCATTTAATTAATTTTTAATTATTTTACTTAAATTTTATTTCATTTATTGTATTGCATTTTTGAATTGTTTTATTTTATTTTTAATTTTGTTTTACTTATATTTAATTTATATAATTATATTTTGTATTTTTTGCCTTTTTTTTTTTGTTTTAGTAAACTACTATATTTAACTAAATTTTTTATTTCTTATTTATTATATTGTATTTTTAATTTCTTTTATTTTATTTTACTTACATTTAATTTATATATGGATGAGTGCATAAGTTCGTGCCCGATTTCAAGTGCAAACTAAAATTGNATAATTTGTATATATTTCTTTCACGAGCGCCACTCTCAAACGATTCGAACGTCATCCAACGGAATCGAGCACGAACTTATGCACTCATCAATATTTATTTTTTATTTTGTATTCTTTCTTAAATTTTTTTACTTTATTTAATTTAATTTTTAATTTTATATAAATTAATTTAACTTCATTTTATTTCATTTTGTTCATAAAGAATAACAACGGTGTTATTAACCAATAAGCAATTGCCGGCAGAAATAGGGCTACAGACTAGTTCTGCGTTTTTCGAAATAAAAAAAAAAAGTTACCCAGATTAACGACTTGATTGACGCGCTTAACTTTTCAGTTGTTCAGAAGTCGGTTTAACTAAATTTGTTAAACTAATGTAGTTTTAATTACTTTACTTAATTACTAATGTGCATTCTTTTCGAATATTATCTCTTGAATAAGATTTAAGAATATTCAACGCTATGTAAATTATGCGGGACGGGACGGAACTAGAGTGGAATCAAGCTAGTGATATCAACTTAAAGGAGCGCAGTCTCGGTGTTAAGTTTGTGGTTGAAAATATTTTGCGGTAAATTTCTATATCTCGCTCAATCCGGTGGAGGAACGCTTAGCTACCGAACAAACAAGATTATGTTATTCTTCTTATCGCTGATATGTTATCTTCCTCTAACACTCCCTCGCTCTCTCACTGTTGATGTGAGTACTTCAGTAACCACTCTTACATTGATTGGTAAAACTGACGTCAGGTTTTAATATTACCATTATTTATACACTGTTTTTAATAACGAATATCTTATCTATCAGCAGGCACATACATATATTTTATTGAAAGAAGTTGTTATGTACAAAAAGCACAGCGTTGCATTTTGATTCGATAAAGTTCAATGGAAATTTCGAATCTCTGTGTTTACTAAAAATTATAAAAATATCTTCATCATTGTCTTTAATTTTATAAAATACTTTATTTAGGAAATTAATTTTGTTCTTATGCTTCACACAATACTGTGCACTTACATTCATGCAAAGTTTTCCGTTTTACAATTTTACATATTCGTATAAAAAAAAAATTATATGTATCAATTATATTCTTCTTCTTGCTCCGCTTTTGTTGTATATTTTTGGTGATCTGATCACTGCTTCATTTGCATTTGATTTCCACTGCCGCCATCGTTGTTGCTGCCACCACCCCCACCGCCATTACTCATATCACGACCTTGTCCAATATCCCCGGACGATGATGAAATATTGCTGTTGTTGCCGCCAGCATTGGCGTCGCCATTAGCTTCCTTATCCGCGCCATTGTCTGTTGTCTTTTCGTCACCTACCGCATTCGAGTTTCGGTCGAAGAGGTAGCTACCACCTAATGGACGTGGTGGTCGGCTACCGTAGGTAGAGCTGTAAGAGGTGAGAGTAGTAGAAGCCTTCTTTTAATTATTTTATCCATTCATCGGATGACATTATTAGGGTGGTTATAAAAATTAGTATTTTCGATTATAAATATAAATATGAGAGGTTTTGGGCGTATCAAAAAGTGGACTATTAGGTTCCTAGTTTGGGAACTGGTTGGTGGGCTGAAATTAGTGGTACAGGGTTTGTGCTTAGAGTAAGTTATATTTTAGCCTGTCTGGCGGGGAGATTCCCTGGCACAAAGTAATTTAAAGTTCCACTACGTTAAGCAACTATATGATGAGCTAAAAGGTGTGAAACAAGTAGCAGTGACAACCTTACGGACATGAGTCAGCTCGCCTCATCCTTTCGTTCAATTCTACGTCCGAAAACCATGTGATCTTCAATATGCTTTCACCTGTGAATTTAGATTGGTTTGAGGAAGAGATAGCTGATATTTTCACACACAAAAATTATGAACCTGTTTAGATGGGCTGAAATCGCTTCGTCAGAGTTACGAAATCGTCCCCCACAGGCTGGTACATAAATTCATCTAGATCGCCTCGTCTTTCGAATATAAAGACACCCTAACAGATATGGTCTAATAAGCTCAAACCGGACAGAACCCACCTCCAAAAGCTAGTATTTTCAAATATTGCTGGAGGCGCCAGCGCATATGAAAGATTAAAAGCGCGACTTTACATCCTCTCATACTTGAGTTCTTTTTTCTAAGGATGAAGATAATTTACACCTTTCAGCCTTCTCCTGACAGCCTAATGAGAAAAAAAGTCAAAAGCACACTACGAGCTATTAACCTTACCAACAAAAGAACGAACACTTTAGGAAAAATAATTCTTTAGAAATTAGATCTGATCCCAGCTCGAACCCTTGAATCTGCAGATCGTAGTTCACACTTCGTACTTTTTGTATATAGAAATGGGGAAGGCTCTATAGAAAGTTTTAGCAAAACCGACCGCCACCTTCGAAACTCTAACCACCACTACTTACCTCTGTGGATCCCTGTCGCCACCTCGCTCCCGCTCACGTCCTCTATCCTCATTCCTACCACTGCCCCGCATACCTAACACTTTATCGCGTTCATCTACATAGTTCCAGCCTTGACTGTTACCGGCGCTACTACTATTACTGGCACTTGTATGGCGTGTCGCAGCGCCTGCACTGCTTCCGCTTCCACTACTTTCACTACCACCACCTCCCACGCCATAACCATATTCATAGCCATGTTGACTTGTTATGGGCCGTGAGGTGACTTGTGTTGTACCGCTTGAGCCACTGCCGCTTCCACCTCTGTATGCATATGGACAGTCGGTGGCGGCGCGTACGCCACAAGGTGACGACGGAGCGCCTTCATCGTACGAGTATTTACTATAAGGATAACGTCGATGTTCACTGTCCTCACCAGCGAAGTAATATCCACGCCCGGAATTATCAAAACCCGATTGACCTCTAAAGGGCCGCGCAATGAGCGACGAGTGAGGCGGAGCGTTAGCGTATTTGTGCAGGCAAATTGTTGTCATTTAAGCAAAGTTGATGTTATTGTGTGTACGAGTTTGGAAGCAGTGGTATTATACATAGATACACACACATACATATATATATGTACATATATGCATGGATTTTAGTTTGTGGTGCAACAAAGTGGTTTAACAGCGGGAAGGCGGAAAATGTTTCGTGTTTTTTGTTGTTGTTTTATATACATATAACAAGTTTGTGTTGTTGTTGTAGTAGTAGTTTTGCAGTATTTTACAGTGACGGTAGATATAGAATATATGCAATGAAGACAAGAAAAGCGAAATTTGCATATTTAAACCAAAAATAAAAAGTGTTGAAAAGCAGAATACATACATATATACATATATATAAACAAGAAAGAATTATTAACAATTAGAAAATAAATTTAAATTTTGAAAAAGATTTGGAAAAACTTTTAAATAAACACGTTACATTACCTGTAGGTTTCGTCCCAAGGACGATAGTTGCGATAATCATAACGCGACGAAGAGGAACGATCGTAGTAGTCACGATCATAGCTGCTGCCACGTGGACGCTCATAATAGCGATCTGGTGTAAGGGCGATATGAGCAAAATAAATACGCGCTCTTCTTTCCAATACTTATTCTTTACTTACCACGAGAGTAGTCACCATAACGGTCCTGATCATATCCACCACGCCGATCATAGCGATCATAACCCCGACCATCGTAGCGGTCGTAAGTACGGGAACCCATGCGATCATCTCTGTAGCAAGCACAAAATAAACATTGATTAAATTAATTTTAATTAAAATAATATAAATTAAAATGAACTAAAATAAAATAAAATACATTAAAATAAAAAAAATTAAAATAAAATAAAATAAAATAAAATAAAATAAAATAAAATAAAATAAAATAAAATAAAATAAAATAAAATAAAATAAAATAAAATAAAATATAATAATATAAAATAAATTAAATTAAATTAAAACAAAATAAAATAAAAGGAAAGAAAAGAAAATAAAGTACAATAAAACAAAACAAGATTAATTAAAAAATATAAAATAAAATACAACAAAATAAATAATATTGAATATGCAAAACTAAGTAAAATTGAAATTTGAATATAATAAAGGGTTTCCCAATTCTTCGTTCTTTTGAATAACCTGCTATTCCGGTAGATATCACTTTTGATGCTGTAATTTTTTGACATTTGACAAGTAAAAACTATGCCGGTTATACAAATGGAGCCAATATGCCATACACGCTTGAAGAACGAGATGAAATTACTAAACTTCACTATAAAAATGGTGAAAAACTGGCAGAAACGTTTGATAAAACTAAAAATTTTTCGGTTGTCAGACCCTAATCTAGACATATGTAGAAAAAATCAGATTTTTGGGACAAGTGAAGAATAAAACACAGATACGTCGCTCAAGTACAACTGAGAATATTGCTGGAATTGACGGAAGTGTTGAAGAAAATCCAGGTTTGTCCATTCCTGAACGTTCTTTGGCACAGGGGATTCCACAAACGCAATTACACCGTATTTTGCATAAAGACTTGGGTCTCAAAGCTTATAAAGTTCATTTAACGAGAGAACTCAAGTCAGTCGTTCCTCAAATACGGCGTGTCTTTGTTGATTGGATCCTTGAAATGTTAAAAAATGTTCCTGAATTTTATCAAAAAATCATCTCGATCTCTGAGACCCATTTCCACTTCGCTAGCTACGTCAATAAGCAAAATTGTCGCATGTGGCCTGGGAAGCAACACTCTGCGGAGCCATTCGACCCAACTTTTTTGAAAATGAAACTGTTGCCACAGTTGCGGTGATTGGATTTCGCTATCGAGCGATGATTAATGATCCGATTATTTATCTTAGAAAATTCCTCTCTTTAATATCAAAATAACAACTGTTTTTGGAAACCCATGTAAAATATAATTAAATTAAATTATGTAAAATAAAATAAAATAAACTTGAATTAAATTAATAAATTTTAATCAAATTAAAGAATAAAATAAAATAAATTAAAATTAAACATAATAAATAAATGAAACAAACAATTAAAATAAAACAAAAAAAAAATTAAAATAAATTAAATTAATTAAAATTACATTAAATAGGAAAAGCTAAATTAAATTAAAATAAAGTAGCATCAAATTAAAAAAAATTCTAATTACATAAATTAATTAAAAAAGAAAAAAGAGCTATCTGTATATCCTACATGACCATTCCAAATATACGATATTTCATTTTACGATTAAATATTAATGCTCATATCTGAACGAATCACTTGTATGGGGACTATATGATCTAGTCCTGCAATTTAGACTATTCTCGGCGTTAGTGTTTATCTACGGGTGTAGAATATTAAATCTCACAATTTTAAAGGCTCTCTTCTCTCTCTATATCTGTACAGATGGGTTGTTTGCCAGCTATATGTTATAGTCCCCCGAATGTGTAATTCAACGTATGTGTGCGGAATACCGAAATTTATGCTCTTAAATATTGTTTTGAAAAACTTATGAACCAAGATCTCATATCTGAAAAATCCGTATATACTATAGTGGTCAGATCTGGGAGGCTCGCTCGAACGATCGTTTGCTTTGGTTGAAATATATCAAAAACTGTGGAACAAATTTACGTACAATCAGACGGACAGATGGGCATGGCTAAGTAAACTCATCTCTTCATGCTGACTCGATCGGCATAAACTTTTGTGTATGGGGAGGACCCCATACTTTTACACTTCGCACCACAGCGACTAAACCTTTTCATCTACTACATGAGGGGTACAAGTAATAAAATGTTAAGAAAATAAAGAAATTAGAATTTTTAAAGGCTAACCAAATAAATCTGAATGAGGCAGATATACCTGTATATATATTTACAATTTTATCATCATAAATATAAATCACTACATAGTGATACGCTCCAGTTGACGATCACACGATCAAGATGTACTTCGAATGACGTCATGCATGAAAATCAAATTTCACTGCTTTTAAATAGACTTTTTTTATTTTTTACACAAATTTAATTAAATACTTTGGCATATAAAAATTTAAAATAAATATATATATATATATATATAAATATTTAAGGATATATAGTTTTGTTTTATAATACTCGTATATTTCTGATCTAACAAAAATAACAGTATATATATGAAAAAAAAAACTCCCACTCCCACTCACCTGTCACGATAATATGAAGATCCTGCGCTATATGATGAGGAATAACGATCGTAGTCAGGTTTGTAACGATCTTCCGAACGATAACGATCTTCGGAACGATAACGATCATCATAACGATCATATGGATAATACCTGTGTGGGGAGAAATTATGCAATATAGAGACAGTCAATTCAATTCACTCATTTTTTGGAAGAGATCAAATATTAAATATTTAATTGAATTATTAAAAAATAATTTACCAATTATCCGACGAGCGACTAGAGTAACCGCCAGCACTACTACCGTAGTAACGACTGCGATCTTCGCCGTAACTAAATTTTAAAATGAAAATTATTGTTATCTGCCTTTCATTACATTTTCGTCTAAGAAATCAATCTTACCGATCTTCATAACAACGCACACACCTCGATTGTCGACTCTTGCGGTATATTGATCCTAATACACTCTCCGATTGTGGCGCCGCCGCATTTTCACCACGATTCGAGTCATACAATTGCACAACGGATGATTGAGCTTTTGATGAGGTGTGTTGTTGTTGTGCAGCTAAAGAGAGGGTAAAATATTCTTGTTGTAGCAATAGCGCTAGCCAGAGTACCTAAAGAAGTGGAAGAAGTTAAGAAATAAATTTGGCTTTTACAAATCATAAATCATTAATAATATATATAATAGGCTCAAAGTCGATAAAAAGTAAGGAATTTTTTCAATATGGGATCTTTGGGCTCATTGTGTTATCAATGGGAATCTAAGTAACTGTTATATGTTGACGAATGGTTAAGAGATGTACCCTTCTTTACAAACTCGTCAGGGCTCTGATTGCACACACTAGTTTCAAAGAATCGTCTTTCTTACTCCAGGCATTATCATTGACTGACTTTTATCGTGCCCACTTATTTGTGCCTATGAGCAGCGAAGAAGTTATATGTCCACCCTTACACCAGAACAGAGATCTGTAGTACTTGAATAAGGTCCTTAATATGCCCTTATAGAGTGTGCTTCCAGGTAACAAAAGTGCTGCCAGCTAGGCTAATCCTCTGCACGGAAATGTAGTACTTCTTGAGCCAACCCCACCTAAACGTCAAGCTAAAGAACCAATTCCATACGTATATGATAGAACTATTGAAGAACATGAGCACATAACACTGATTTCTCAACTTACAGGGTTTTTTATACTAGTTTGTGATCTTTATGGCGGTTCATAGATTCATACCTTAAATTTATGAAAACTTTTGCTCATAGGGTCATACCTCCCATTATAAACCGTAGAACTCTCTCGATTTGACGGCCGGACTAACAACAGAAATCGAAGTGGGAACTCGAAATTATTATCTCAATCCCCAAAGGTAGATACGATCACTGATCTGTCTCTACTAATTACTTATTCAGTGTTTTAATTTATCGTTCAGGTCCCAGCGAGTGGAGTACTAGGAGATGGCGAATCCGATTCTCCAATCGATTACGATGGAATAGATATATCTTAGCCAGACCAGAGAGAAAAAAGCAAAGAACTGAGAAGGTGCATGTATCAGCTTCTTCTCGTGCGCGCAATGCCTAATTCATAAATGTGGGTACCCATCGTCTGCGCAGACCTATCGAGTGTATCAAATGAACTATTAAAGTCCACTGTCAACGAACTGATTGGACCTTATCAGTGTGGTTTTAGATCTGCTAAATCCCCTATAGACCAGATATTCACAATGCGCCAACTCATGCAAAAGACCCGTGAAAAGAGCATCGACACACACCACCTCTTTGTCGATTTAAAAGCAGCCCTCGACAGCACGAAAACAAGTTATCTCTACGTCGCTATGTCTAAATTTCGTCTCCCCGCAAAACTTTTACGGCTATGTAAACTGACATTGTGCAAAACCAAAAGCTTCGTCAGGGTAGGGAAGGACCTCTCCGAACCATTCGATATCAAATGAAGTTTCATACAAGTTAAGGTTTTCCTTGAGAAAATATTACGAGCTGCAAAGCTGAATAGTGAAGGTACAATCTACCATAAGAGAGTACAACTGCTGGCGTACGCCGATGGTATAGAATTCATTGGCGTCAATAATCGCGCCGTGAGTTCTGCTTGCTCTAGTTTGGAGAGAGAGTAGGTAGTAGAACGTAAGCAGGACGGGAGATGTGTCTTAAGACAAGCAGTTACCGCTTTCGGCTCGACTCTGCTTCCACTTCACTGTTGACAGTCATAAGAGAATTTCGTCTATCTTGGTACCAGTATTAATACCAACAACAACGTCAGCATCGAAATCCAGCGTAGTTATTCTTGCCAAGAGGTGCTACTTTGGAGTGAGTAGACAATTGAAAAGTACAATCCTCTCTCGACGAACAAAGACCAAACTCTACGAGTCACTCATCATTCCCATACTGCATGGATGACATAACCACATCTCATGAGACGACGTTGAAGGTTGTCGAGAGAAAGAATTTGCGTAGGATCTATGGTCCTGTGCGCATTGGCAATAGCGTATACCGCAGCCGATGGAGTGATAAGCGCTACGAGACATAATTCAGTGAACCAATAGACAGCGGCTATAGCTTTGAGGACTCACTACCCGCCGGTGAAAGCAGAGGAGGAGTAAGACCAGTTGAAAAAGGATGTGGTTTTCAAATTTAGTATCAAACCGCGTAAAAAGAATGAAACCACTGTTGTTAACTGGTTTATAATTGCGGAAGTGAAGAAGTCATTGTGTTTTAGAAGAATCAGAATATTAATTTCTGGATCGGAGCTCCATTGTGGAGGTAAATGTTTCAAAAAAAATGTAATTATTATTAAAAATAATTAAAATTGAACTCTATTCATCGATCAATGTGACCTCATTAAATTAATTATATTTTATTTATTTCGCATATAAATTTATACATAACCATTTACGCAGAAATATATGTACATATTTATGCTTGATTCTATCTGATGGAAAAGCCATTAAAGCCAAAAATTATTTGCTGCAAATTGAGGGCAATAATCTCGTTTATCCGACTCCAATCTTTATGCCACTGAAGTCGACAATCTTCATACGGAATGCCCTCCGCCTGCCTGCCTGCCTGCCCAACCAATCATACACAACGACATGTATGTATGTATGTATATATGGGTACATAAGTATTTGATCAATATAATTTAACAATCCAACAGTTTTTTGGGACAAACACGGCAGTGATTAACGAAATGTGATGTGATAGAAATAAAAAAATTAAATACGTGTATATATATATAGGTCAAGTAAAAAGTTCGTTCGGTTTTTATGTCCATAGATGGCATTATTGTCCACAGTATATTTTTTATGTATATATATAAAAAATATTTAAAAAAAAAAAATATGTATAGAAATCTGCAATTGTAGAAAATAAATGTTGGTACGCGTGATATTAATCATTTCACCGTAATCGCTTGCGCAGAAGCATTGACCAGTCAGGCGCCGCCACTCGGTAACACTCATACCTGTACAAGCCCTGTGTTGGATAATCATAATTTCCAGCAGGCTTTCATATTTAACGCGCATAGAATTTTTCTACGTACATACATACATACAAACATGCATACAATGTAAATACGTGTAGCAAATCAACAGTTAAGTGCGAGTGTGCACATTTAACACTTTGCCTTTGGCTGTGTCAGCACTATTAGGTATGTATGTATGTGTTTGTGTGCATGTGTGTATATATGTAGTATTAACCATCCCGACCGGATCTAATTAACGCAGTAAAATAAATACCAATTTTTCTTTCTTTCTTTTTTTTGTTTAATTTCTGCAACAATTATTGAGTAAATTATTTCGGTTTATATAAACACAAAAATTATTTTTAATTTATTAACACCATTTTTTGGGGTTCGTTAGTTTAGCATATGTATGTATATTATATATTAATATTATTTTTTTTTTTGCGCTATAAAATTATGATAAATAACATTGACATCATTCTCTGTCAGCAGCAACAGCAACAGCCCTGAGGGGTTGGTACTTCAGTTTCGTTTAGGCCATTTTAATAATAATAAAAAAAAATTTAATTTTTATATATATATGTAAATATACATATACATATGTGTGCGGCCGATTGGCCGAATGTTGCAAACAACAACAACAACAATAGCGTGTATGCGAGCGCGCCTTCCACGCATTGCTAGTCAAGCATCAGGAACCACTTCCGGCTAATGAGCAATAAGTATGCATATATGTATGTACATATATACATATGTGTGGTTTATAAAAAATTATTAACACATACATATGTATATAGAGAATAGGAATAATATGCGTATATGCATATGGAATTTATAAAAAAAAAATATATAAAATAAATTTAAAAAAAAACCAACATACAAACATTCACCTACACATATTTCTTCTCCACTGTGCTGTGGTCATTTGCGCGGGATGATTGTAAAATTGTACTTTGATTTTGTCATAACTTTCGTTTATTTTACAATTCTATTTTATACATTTTTATTTTTATTTTCGATTAATTTTTCCATTGGAATACGTGAGCCAACGCTTTGGTTTAGAAGCTGAATACGGCAATCGTTTTATCTGATGATACATTTTTTTATTGAAAGTAAAAGTATATGAGCCTATACTCAATTCCTACTACCCTGGAAATGTGGGTTGCTGTGCGAGCCTTGGGTTACGGCTAAAAGAGAAGAAGCTTCCACGACTTATTCGGTTTAAGGGTTCGCTGAAGTCTAATTGCAGCGTCTGTTCACCAGAGGTGCAGCTACTAGTAAGCGCCGGTCTTGAAGCAAGCGGCTCGCTATACAAATTAAACCCCCGTCCCTCCCCTTGCGGGTTTGGAATTAAAGAATTTACCCGGCGACTAAAATCCAAAGTTGTGCGCTAAATTTGTGACCCGGCCCATAGCAACCATCTGCAGTGAAAGAGTTAACAAAGCTTCGGATGACAGACTCTACTTTTGCTGACGACCATCGGAAATACCTTTAATGATTTAAAAGCATGCATCTGGATCCCTCAATTGGGAGAATGCCACTGCCTAGCTGATTTATGTCTTCGTATGACTAATGCTTGCCGTCCAAAAAGTGCGATGGACGAAACGTGTACTTGTGGCATTGTGAGTCCTTATTTCCCCAGACTTGATAGGCTTATAGGTCTGGAACTGAATGAGGACTAGGCGAAATATCTTCTCTCATCAAACAAACAATCATCGCATGTGGGACTCAGCTTATTATAACGTCACTATTTTCCTTAGGTGGTTGGCCAGTGTAACACTTTGGATGCTGTACTACTGCTAAGCCGTTATAATAGCGCAAGGAAACCACAACCCATAACAACTCGGACCGTGAAAACGTTGAGAGCGGGAATATTCCGCGAGAAAAAATCGTGCTACGCTCTCCGAGAGATACCAAAGGTGTTTGTTCGACTTTAAAGAAAAGCTATAGGACAAAACCTGGTATCTAGAGTGTTGAAGGCGACAGCTATGTGCAAGGCGGCAGTCAAAGTCTATGAGCTGCAAGTCCAACCGGACGAAGGGAGCGCAGCTTGAGTGGAAAATGGAGAAAGGTCGGGCTTACTCTGCGGCAAGACTACGGTTCACATCCACGCATCCCAAACCGAAACAAAGAAGGAATCAGCGCTAAATGGCAGCTTTTGACTGAAAGTGAGAAAGTGTTAGGAACCATTCCAACAATTCTGTTATTGTACACTCTGTCAGTTAAGCTGTCATGAAGTCTATTTAATGCAGTTTTACTACGTTAAAAGTAGTAATGAAATGTAGAAATCGGAATGCGCGTTATGGGTCGGTAAGAGGAGAAATCATCTTAATACTGCACAAGATGCAGGTGTACCTATATTCACATCTCTAGACGCCAGAACCTCAAGATATTACTGCTGCACTTAAGCGTGAGACACTCTGCTCTGCTTGAGAGCCTAGACTTATCTCCGTGTAACTCTTTCTCCGTCAAATAAGCCTAATGTTAAAGACAAAGTCACTGGAGGAAGAGAGCAGTTAGTTTCCTATAGAGAGTTACTCATCAGCGGAGGTTCAGACCACCAAATTATTGCAGCTCTTTTCAGGTGCAGGCTGATACTATTAAGCTGTGGAGATCCTGCTTCGGAAGGCAAGTTCTGTAAGATATGTGGTTCACTCAGCGTGGTTTCGAAAATAGTGCGGGAATGCTTCTTATTACAGTTTATGGCGTCGGCTTACTTCAAAATTTAGAAATAATAGTGCTAACAAGTCCCCTTTGAATAGCTGGAAACTACACAGCTGATGAGCTCACATGCATGGAGACCACCGTTTCGTTATATTCGGACAAAGCGCAAATAGGTTCACCTTTTTCAATATGCGGTCTACTTCCAGGTGCTGCTGTATCTTAAACCAACTTAGCCAGCGCGGAGCTAACATTCCACATATTAGGTCGCGATCTGCTACTGACCTTAGGTGGACCGGGGAAATTCAGGACAGCTCCTCTCCATCCATTTTCGAAGCTGGTCTGCTCAACTCTCGGTACATATATGCTTTTAATAAGTCTCAAATGTGCCCAACTGGAGCTGGAGGTACCGTGAAAAATGTGAAGCCTCAATAGCTTGAAGCCCACATTGTTGCAAATGTACTGGCTTCAGCGTTTCCTAATCTGCTCCTCCTCCAATTTGTAGTCTTAATGTCGCCTGCGAACGGTTGATGGTTTTTATATGAGTAGCTTTTATTTCATGCCTGCCGAGGGCGACCGAAATTGGAAAATCTAACTCAGTTTTTTATTTAACTTAAGTTTCTATAACATTTGGATGTTGGTCCGACCAGGACAACTACTGTGGTCTTCTGAATGACAGTTCACCAGGATAACCACGCGGTTATCGCAGCTCAAATCAAAATGAAGTTATTTTTTGCTTGATTTACAGTTCGGACTGTCACCTTTCCAACGATATATAATATGTATATATTTCTTTCACGAGCGCCACTCTCAAACGATTCGAACGGCATCCAGCGGAATCGGCTACCGCGGCCACAATAATTTAGTAGTACATCCTACGTTGAAAGAATTCTAAGGCCTGAATTGTTCCTCCATGCACTGCTTTAGTTAATATTTAAAGGCGCTGAAAAGTCTGAGGCAGTCGATGGTAACAGACTCGACAGCTCTTCCTCCCTTTCATTGCCTTCTACATCCGTATGACCCGGGGTCCAAATCATATTTACCTTATGCTCCCCTCCAAGGACTTTATGTTGACATACCTAATTGCCACTGGACTGTCTAAAAAAACAGACCTGACGGATTGAACATTCGGCAGTTTATATAATGTCCACATTCTCTAGAATACTGCAATTTAGTCATTGACTTTAAAGCTGACTTAGTTGTTGGAGTAGTCACAAATAACCCCCTTCTTTTGTGCCTGTCTCACACTTAGACCCATCTGAGTAGATATGGTCGTATTGACCATTCTCAATGGGCCGCCTATTCTTCCCCGCTAAGGAAGTAGGGAGCAAGTGGCATCTTATCGGCAGACTATTTCGGATTCTCGGTTGAATTTTACGTTTAGACCGAGTTCTGATGAACTGCTGTTTCTGACATAAATTTTTAGCAGAGATCAGGACCTATTTTTTGAGGTTAGAAAAGTTTTTTTTTTATTCATAATTTTTTTTTGTCAAAATTAAAAGGATACTGGGTCTTTCTAGATTCAAAGCTTAAATAATTAAAAAATATATAAAAATTAATTTTATTAAAAATTTAAATATTCACTGAATTTCCTTCAAAACTTTAAAAAGGATTAAAATTTCACTTTGAAACACAATTTACATACCAACTTTAACTGCTTCATTTTAATCTTTTGCGAAAGTCGAAATTCAATTTGAATAGATTTTTTTTTTTTAATTTCACCGACACAAAGTTTTTTTTAATAAATATTTTCTATAAAAAAAATCCACTCTTCACTTTAGCACCACATTCGTACAACACTTTGTGTATTCACTTGGAATTGTTCTAAAATAATTCTGTGTATGTATGTATGTATATAATTAGAAATTAGAATTTTTTCTGCTGATCAACCGCTATTGTCTCGCAGACCCCCTCAGGTGGTCTATCAATCAGTCTGAATATTAGTTAGAATATTTTCAGATATACATATGTACATACATACGTGTATGTATGTATAAATAGTAGAATTTTAGTCTGCGTCCGAATCCGTCTGACTTGCTTGTTTTGTAAACCCAATGCGAATGCGCGCATCCCGTCTCTTGTTCTGGTATTTATTTAATATTTCCCTCTTTGTTGGCTTGTTAATACACAAATATTGTAATAATTTGTCGGTTTGGCTTAGTTTTTGGCTAAAACTCAATTTGGCATACATACATACATACATACATGCGTTACGTTTATTCAGCAGCATTGTCGCGTTTGTTGTTGTTGTTGCGCAATGATTAAACGCAGAGAAGTCATGCGAAAGCTGCTGCTGCCTCAGTGGAACAGCGGCCAAATTAAGCGGCTTCGTTTGGGGTGGCCGTGTGGCGTTTCGCGCTCTCTCTCTCTCTCTCTATCTCTCTCTGTTGGCTAAGAGTGCAAAATATTAACTCAAAATGTATGATTCAATTTTATGTTTAATTCAGAATAAAGAATGGGAATTCATAAAAAATTTTAATACTTAAAAAAAATCTAGAAAAAACTGTCAAAATGCTAGCTGAGCGTGGAAAAGTCGTTAGTTGATATTCATAAAAATCATATGCAATAATTAGAGTAAAAAGTGGCGAGATAATAAAATGCTAAATAAGCACGCCAACAACAAATATAATAAAAATGTGGAAATTTTAATGATGAAAGCTGTGGCTTCTAAACACATATGCACATACTCGTACATACATACATATGTACCTACGAGTATGAGTGGCAAAGAAAAACCATCAGAATGGTGTCGTTTTGTAGTTTTTTTTTATTTTTTTTTATTTTTTTTCATACTTTTTTCTTATTTTAATATGTTTGTATGTTTGCTTGTTTGTTTAGACGCGTATATGATTATGTAAACATATGCAAATTTCCACCTAAATTACGTTGAAAGTTTAACTGAAAATCATTTATTTCAATGTCAACGACTTCATCATAAGTTGAGAGGGATGAATTTTGAGTTTTTCACGAAAAGCGGATGCAATGGATTTACGATGATTTTCCATTCAGCAGCACATGTTTGGAGGGAAATACAAAAGTATTAGTTCACAAAAGACTCCTCTCGAAAAGCTTAGTAGAAGGTCATTAAAGTGCTTTTAAAAAATTTCAATAGAAGTTTCAAAATCAACACAAGAAGCCCTATAACTTAGATCATTCTCTCTTTGGCGCTTTTGACTTAACCTAAGCGTCAGCATTGACCATGGACTAAGCTTTCGTGGCCATGTTGAATAGAATATACATAATTGGCGCTTTGTTACCGCTGAAGTGTTTTTCGGTCGAGCCACTCCTCCTCCTCCTCCCATTTGTTTTGTGCGCCTTGATGTTATTTGCAATAAATGAAGGAACTCACTGTTTATACTAAGTCGCCTCCGAACGGCTGGTGTTTTTTTGTGAAAAGTCTTTTTTTCAAAGTCAGATATAAACCCGGAGCGGTTGACATCACCTGCCGAGAGGCGAACTCAATTAGAAAATTTCACTAAATTTTTTTATTTAAATTAATTTTCTATAATTTTTGGATGACGAACTTTGGTCTCGGCTATCGCGCCCGCTACCGAATACCCTACTGATAAAGCCGCAGCAACAGTAGTGACAGTCATCCAGCTTTACGGCTCTACGATCTATGTACACTTACTGTGGGTTCACTTTTCCCGTTTGCGCTGCTCTTCGCACTGTATAACTGTATAACACAGCGAACTCTCAATTCTTCTCAATTAAGTTATATTCGCAGGCATTCAAGAAGATTGATAAGCGATCAGGACGATAAGGAATTCAAACGCAACGATCTCAATTCCAACATCGAAAGCTTACGAGGAACTTAGACTTTTAGGGTTGTATTTTTAATGTACTCAGGGTAATAACACGGTCCCCAACACTTAAGTTTAAATTTAATGGAAATTATTTTTCTTTGACTTGGGCACCGAACATTATAGCCGAATTAAAAATAGCGCCTCATTCGGATCTTCTCTTTGCTATTTGGCGCCAGTTGGAAATACCAAGTAAAACCAGGTCCCTCTCCACCTGATACTTTCAACGGAGTGGAGGACCTCCTCTTCTTTTGCTTTTATCGGCAGCTACCGTATCGAAAACTTTCAAAGTTTATGTGATCTTATCCATCCGGACCACATGACCTAGACAATGTAGCCGTTGTCTCTTCATTCACTCGCACAGCTTCTCGACATCCTCGAACTTGCAGAGTTTGGTCATTATACGTTGAGACTACTACTCAATTGCCACTTCGCTTCGCTTCGTTGTCAAGCCTTGGAGCGATTGTTAAGACCAATAATGTCAATATCATCGAGGTCCGCCAGCAGCTGTACACCTGAAGACATGCCGTCAATCACAACATGATCGATGTGGTTAAGAGTTTTTCGATCTGGAGACAGCCAAGTAGCTTAATGTATTTTTTTTTTTTTTGGTGCTTGAATCTAGTACTACGGACAACCACATTTTGGGCCCCTGTGATGACAATCAGCTTCAATCCACTTGGAGATGTTTCGTTGTTGAGGCTGAATTATCCAAAAGTCGTACCAAAAATACCTTCCTTACTTAGCCTGGCTTAAAATCTACAAGCACGATTTCCATATCGTGGCGGGGGCAGCGCCCATGAGTGTGCTCTAGGTGCTCATAACAGGCATCTTTGGCTAAATCGTCCTTCTCGTTTATCGGGGAATGGGTGCATATCAAGAAAATGTTTAAAAATATAGTTTTGATGCGGATTGTGGCGAATGCCAGTACACGTCGACGGAGTCTCTCTCCCACCACAAATCAGACACCGAATTCGCGCTCCTTTTTACGGGCGCTTTCGCTTATTCCATCTATCGCATTTCTTGGACGGCGGTAATATCAGCATTTTATCTTTTGGGAATGTCAAACAGTGGCAACTTCCTAATTAAGGAACCGAATATTCCAAGTGCATACCCCAAAATCGTAATCCTTAAAACATTTGCGGGGGTCGCACCAAAAGGAGGGTCTCTCATCCGAGGCTGATTTAAATTTTTCATTGGATTTTGCTTTAAATGAGAAAGATTCACCGCAAAACCGCATGAGAAGATTCACCTTTTCACTTTGGCCTCGCCTCCATACGAATGTAAGGTAGTTGGCTACCCAGGGGATACGTGGTTTAAGACCGGAAGTCGTGAGCTGTTTGAACCATATGCAAAAAAATCGTTTATCTCCATTTTCAGGCGAATGACAGTCCAAGACTTTCCTCGCTTTCGTGAACTTCTACTCATGTGCCTATCATGGAAAATACAACAAATGTTATTCTACTAAAAAATCTAATTCGTCATGGAGTATTTTATCAAATAATGAGTTCAATGCAAAACAAGCGAAGTCACCGAAGCGAGGGAAGTCCAAATAAATATTATCACAAGTCGAGTTGCTTGGTAAAAAAAAAAAACCAAATCAAATAAATTAAGTAATTATAAGTCAATTGCTTAACTCATTCAAAGTCATAAGTGGCGCATGCGCACTATATTAATTTGCAAATAAATTAAAAGAATGACACAAAATTAGCTAATGTCAAGAATCTCTGATGTAAATGTAGAGGAGAGCGCTCTCGTTTAAATAAAGAATCGAAAAGACGAAGAAAAAGAACTCCAAAATTTGATGAGGGCCACAGAGCAAAGGTTCCTAATAATATTTTTTTGCTTTGCTCATGCCGAGGACTTTGTTACGTAAGAGTTTGAACTTGATTTACATATGTATGTACATATGTATGGAAATATATTACTAGTGTGTAATTAATTTTTACAAATGTCACCAAAGTTTATAGGAATATTCAAACTAAATTTGACTACTTTGACGACCTTCTTTAAGGTCTACTGATCATAAGATGCTATCGGCCGAGTGTAATTACACATGCGTATATATTATAAGCATATGTATGTATGTATATTTTACATACATGCACATGTCTACATACATTTATGTGTGTCATAGGCGCCATACACCCACACGTGCCGCTAAAATCTTTATTAATTTTTTTTAGTAGCTGACAAGTGCACTCACATATATGTACATACATATGTACCTACATATTTTTGTATGTACGTAAATTGAAATACTAACCATGGCTGCGAGTACACGAATTAATTATAAGTAAATAAATTAAAAAAATAATACCCACAAACTCAACAGCTTTATATTTATGCTTAAGTTGGGCAATTTTCGGCAGTGTACCGTAAAGTTCATTATGTCATACATACGCATACCTATGTGCGAATACGTGTATGTATAAATTCCTTATAATTCCAGCGCGTAATAAATAGGCGTTGGACTACGCAATGATATGGAAGCCCGGATTCATGGTCACGGTCAGAAAAATTAGAAAATTGTATTGAGTTCAACACCCACCCACGAAAATGGTGCAAAATGAAATTTGCCAAGAAATTATTTGTTTATGTGAATTTCAAATTTGACTTTTCATTAGAAACGTTTATTTAGTATTATGAAAATTACATAGAATCTAATGAGCATATTCTTAAGAAAATTTGTATGTATTTACCAATTTTTGTTTAGATTTTTAATACACATTTCCGCAATTAAATAGTAGGAACATTTCAAAATTGTTCTAAATTTAAGCGTAGCCAACGCAGATGAGCTGCTGACAATCGGAAATTAATATCCAAGAAAAATATGACTCTAGAGGAAAGGGAAGACTTTACTATTTAGTTGAATTGAACTAAAAAAATAGGTATTACAATAGGTTTCAAATTAATATTGCTTAATAAAATAGAAGTAGCCAAAATATATCGTTTATTTCAAGCGAGTGGCTACAAGGCCTTATTATACTGCTTCTGGCACTCCTCTCTCACTTCAAATGAGCGGATGTAGACTTTCTTGTTAGCTTTCACACCTTTCATGCAAGTCCTGTCCGGCGGAACATGGTTTCGTTACACAATAAATATTTTCAATTTCCTACTACATAAATATTAACTTATTAAGAATAACGCTTATTTTTGTTTAATATTTTACAATATAAGTATATTTATACCACTTGTAATTATGAACAGGTTTTAGCTATTCTATGAACTATGAATTATTTGCACATATGTGTATATAATTTTCTTTCAAATAATGCATACATTATTACTTCAGGATAGTTAACAAAATTTTCATTTCAAAAAATAACAAAATATTAAACTTCAAAATTTCTAATTAAACTTCAAATCAACGACAAAAAGTAGTTATTTGAAGCACTCTGCATAAGTAAGAGTTGTATTTGCTGACCACAGGGAGATGCCAACTTTAGACTTTATTCCCAGCATTATCAACAATAATTGTAAAGTTGAGTTACGCTTTGTTTTAATATCTTCTTATTTACTCATATGTCGACTGCGAAATTGCAATATTATGCACATATTACCAGGTTTATTTGCAAAATCAAGGTTATAAAATTCTTGGCTACACATAATGTTGTCATATCAGCCCACTTGCGCATGAACAATTGGTAAGCAACAGCAACACTGCAAATACACACTCCATGTGGATGGTGTGGATGGTAATTCATCATCCAACGAAGCGGCGGAAAGAATATAAAACGAAAAACTTCGGTTCATTTTTCACGATCCTTTCTGATTTTGCTTTGATTCTTTGCTAAAAAACAAATTGGGAAAGTTCTATTTTTCAACGCAGCGCTTCAAAAATATATACGCACAAAGGCAATACAAATATTAAGTGTTGTGATTTTACTTATCATATAAAATAAAGGTAAATAAATACAAATACTTGGAATTACACAAAGAACAACGCAACAAGTCGTTGTAAAAACAACATTTCATGGCGCTGATTCATCCGGCGGTGCTGCATGATATCTACGACGAATTGGTTATTAGCGCTGTTCGTTGTTCTTTTGTGAGAGCGGTTGCTTAATTGTAGTGTATTAAATTATTGCTTTCAATATTTTTCTTGTTTCAGCAATTGACGCATAAATAAGTTCATAAATAAAAAGAAATTTAAAAGAAAATATGGAGACCCCAAATGAATTTCCTGTACCATCTGGATCCAGTGGAACTGCTTCCAATGAGTAAGAATGAGTATTTTTTTTTATTTCTTTTATTTGGATTAAAATGCTTTATGTTTTGTCTATTTGCTGCGCTAAGTTTTTGACATTATGCCTTATCAGTTTTGCTAGCTATTAAAGCTAGTATTGCAATTAGCAGATACGTATTCGCCATCTTGGCTAATATGCATTGGCTACATTTGGAAAATAATTCTATATGTGTTTGGGTGTTAGTACCTACGCAAATATATGCTCTCAACAGTTTTTGGTTATCTACTACAAGTATTTAGGTTGGTTGGCTTGTTTATAGCTGCAGACATTTTACTTACAAATGTATGTGTATGTACATGTGCATACATTATAAATGGACTTAGTTACAATAGTGATTTCAACTTGCAGAAATAGATTAAGCTAATAAAAGTACATAAGTTTGGTGTCATTGTAAATTGTCATGTCTCGGCATTCATTTTTATGACGGCATTGGTATGACCTGATTGGCCTTAGAAAGTTAGCTGACATTTCTATTGATACGGTTATTTTGGTATTTCCAGATTAGGGCTGGTGGGGGTATATTTGACGGCTTGTACTTGCGTGCATTCATTAGTTCCTTAAAATAATTATATGTTTGTGTACGCTTAACGAATACTTAATTGTTCTATATAAAAAAAATTGGGTAGTGTTAAGAATTTTGCTCCACTGCTGGTGGTTGATTGCGGAAAACGCGTAAGGATTTTCTATGAATGCTATTGGGAAATTTTTATATCATACCCAACTTGTGTAGTAAAATACCAAAGCACACCCAAACCACATAACGCATCCATAATATTTATAGTTTAGTGTTTGTACAATGAATGTATATATCTACATAGATACTTTATACAGGGTGTTTTAGGTGGGCTAGACATTACTCAATGCGCTACTCGCCGTATGGATAAAAAAAAAAACTCAACAAATCCAAAATGCAATAAGACACCCTGTTATTTTATGTAATCTAACCATATAATATTATATATAGTTTTCCTGTTTTACCCCCGCCTCCGAATTCTGCTACTCCCAGCAATAATAATCAAGCACAAAAGCGTCTACAACAAACTCAGGCAAAAGTCGATGAAGTCGTCGGTATTATGCGCGTCAATGTAGAGAAGGTGCTGGAACGTGATCAAAAATTATCGGAATTGGGCGAAAGAGCTGATGCTCTAGAAGCTGGTGCCTCACAATTCGAACAACAAGCTGGCAAATTGAAACGTAAACAATGGTGGGCAAATATGAAAATGATGATCATTATGGGTGTAATCGGTGTGATTCTCTTAATTATCATTATCGGTGAGTAACAACATGCTAGTTTCATTTATTTGCATTTTTAGAGCGCAATACATATATACATACATACATATATATCTACAATTATAATACAATTGGCGTTCTTACTATTGAACAATTACAAACATGGCTTTTGGCATTTGGACTGCGGTGCTCGTGAATTAAATAGATTAATATAATTAATAAGGAATTTCATTACAAACGTAAAATGTTTGAATTGCTGTGCTGTAATGTTATTAATACTTTTCAAAGTAATCTTACTAAGACTTTTCATGTTTATTTTGCTTTTTCTTATTTTTTATTGCAATTTTGCAATCCTCACATTTTAGCTTATATTATTATTTTATTTTTCATATATACAACGATCGCTTCAGAATCATCAGAGGTGCTCTAAGGTAGACTTAAAATTATTTTTTGTACTTTTTACATTATTTTTAATGCTTGAAAATGCAAAATTTCCTTTATTTTCTCTCAAATGTTTAGCTAAATACACTTCTAATATATATACATATTTAACTAGAAATAGTTCTTGAAATATGTACTTTTCCCCACATATAGTTTATTAACTCATTGGTTTGGATTTGGTTTCTACTTACACTGTATTTGACTTCAATATTATTCTTTAAATTTTTTATGTTTTATAATTTGAAAAACAATGGAAACAGCTTATTTTAATTAAAAATGTTTCAAAAATTACTAATTTAAACGTCTAGTGATGGTGAATCTAAATTTTAATTTTACTAAAATCGGTATAATTTTCATACTTTTCTCTACAACATTTTAATTTTAATTTTATTACTTTCTTGTCAGCTGATAAGATGTTTCACTTTTCTTATCAGTTAAGCACAATTACCACATTTGCATTTACATATCTAAATAACGCATTTTACATGGTGTCAGCAAAAGAATTTCTTTAATATGAGTAATGAAAAATCATTTACTTTCTTTTTTTTTATAAAATTGAAACCAAATTGTTTTTGCCACTTGTTTTTTGCTTTTTTATTTACAGTTATGCTCTTTTATTAACTGGTAACCACTTACCATTTGAAGTCTAATGATCAGCATTTTAAGTATATTCACTATACATATATGTATGTACTTTCTAAGTTTGTTTGTTTGTGTGTGTGTAATGTTTATAGTTTCAAATAACTTAAAATTTCCAAAAAAAAGAAAAAAAAATGCTAAATATTATTTAAGTAAGTCCAAAGTAAATATTTGCGCCAGCACAACATATCCGCAAGCCATTCCGTTCAAAAGAAGTAAGTAAAAGAATGCTCAAAATTTACAACAGCAACTATTGTAATAGTAAAAAATTCTCAAATTTCTTAAATATTAAATATAGTAACTTCTAATATACTACTGTCTTCATTTATATGTTTTTGCAGTTTCCTTCCTGCCATCCAGCAGCACTGATACACACAATCAAGTCGAAAACACTAAAGCCCCGTAAACAGTTCAGATGACGACAGCGGCCTTACAACGGTTCCTTGCTGTGTTGATTGCACGCATTTAAAGTGAATCTTGTTTTTTTTTTACAGAAATATATGCACAAAATGCCAGCAAACAATAAACGATATGCATTGAATCGAATTTTTCAAAATTTAAAAAAAAAAGAAAACAACAGTAATAATTCAAACAGCCGTAACTGAATGTCTTAAACAGTATACAATTAAAAAATAAATATATACACACATATATACATAAAAACTTATATGAAAAACACTACAATATACAAAATGTATGCCTTAAAATATACAATTAATTGATATCAAAATGAAATTGTAACTAATATTGTGAAAAAAAAGAAAGAAAAAAAAACTGTCTATTTGTTTTTGTTTAATACTTGTATTTGTTTAGTATTTCTTATTTTTGTGTATTACGAATTATTCAATTGGACATTTGTAATTGTAAACTTGTATGTGGTTACACAATATATAGATAAAAGGAAAGCAGAAAATGCATACATATGGATATTTTTATATATGTAAATATATGGAATGTTGAGACAATTTGTTAAACATATAAATCTACACACCTATAAATATATACAAATGTATTTTAGTGTTTATTTTTCTGCGCTTTCGAAGTATTTACATGCTACATACATATACGAAAAACAGTGTATGAGATAAACTATTTACATACATATATATAACATATATATATACATATACAAACGGAAAAATGTAAACTATACACACATCCAAAATAAATTAAGCAACAAAAAAAGTTTTTTCTGTAAAACACTAAAATGCGTGTTTATTACTCCAAAAAAGTTAGAAAAAACAAACACAACAACAACAACAACAACAACAGCAAAGTGCATAAATATTTTTGAAGATTTTTGAACTAACATCTTATTTAAACGTTCCAATTAGTTATCTATGTTTATTGCTTGTTTTTGTTTCTTTTGAATATAATAGCTTTTGTTGAACTTTTTGCAAATTTGAACAATTTTGCATATGTGGTAGAACACGAAAGAAATTATTAATTAAGTAAAATAGTAAAATTTGTGTTGAGTGTGTGAACTTTATACATTATTATTTCTTTATTATTTGTACTTGTATATATATATATATACATATCTCTATTTTTCATTATAATTTCCCAACTTCATGTATTTCCACAAAGAGCAATACGCCCATCGAGTAGAGCGTCATATAATTCATATAGAACAATGTGCCATACATATGTGGTCCATAAGTGTCCATCCAAATGAATTCGGCACGGCTTATTGCACGTCCACACATAAGTATATACTGCAAAAGAGAAAGTATTAATGAATCATGTTGTTGTTGTATCGATAATCAAGCAATTCATGGGTTTCTTAAGACTTCAAAAGCTAAAGTGTTTGCGAGGGAGATAGTTTTCCACGCACCAAACAATTTTGGTTGCCGGCAATAAGAAAACGAGCCACAAACTTATCGCCGGTAATATCGCTATCGTATCGTTTTTTTTTACTATCAGTCGTTCTGAAATGGCAACTCTCCTAGTCGCAATTCGTTTTCTTATTGCCTGAAAAAATGTGTCGTTTAAAGTAAACAAATATTACCGATTTATTATCCAGGCAACAAATCGGCAACAATTCAGTATTCGAATATAAATTTCATTTATGTTTGTAAATACATATACATATGTTGTCTGTATGTTATACTTACCACGGACATAAAAAATAACATTGTCAATGTCATCACCACATCGAAGTGTGGACTTTTCAGTGATATTCCCACTATAATACCCATTGAGGCAACCAAGAAACATCGGCAGGTCCAAGCAAATATGAAACGTGGTTTATATATATAAAAATCCTGAAAGTGGAGAAAACGAAGAAAAATATATTACTTGAAAGAACTTTAAATCATGACTGAAGGATGAAAATTAAAAAAAAAAATTATTTATTTTATATTTATTTATCTTGCATTTTAAATATTATATTACTCTGTAGAAGCACACACACACATGTATATGTATGTACTTACTTTCCTGGATTGCGCTACTACGATGCTGCCAATTATGACAATCGCTGAAATGATACCAGAGAACAGCAACTGGCTAAAAACGGAGGAAGAGATCGGCATAGCCACGGCAATGGTGGAAAGCTGAAGCTGAAAGAAAAGAATAATATATTTTATAAATAATTTATATCTCTTGAGCGCGCATAACTGTGGATCTACTAAGCAATTTTAATAGAAAAATGAGATTTAAATTTGTCTAAAATTAAAGGGACGCCCAAAAGCATGCAAAGAAATTTAGAAAAATAAGGTTGAGATTGACAAAACAAGGAAAGACAAGGAAATATTCCCCCTGCAAAGTTGCTGATGGACGACCGAAAATCGAAAACTAAATCAGAAACAGTTGTTGTTGTTGTAGCGGCTCACTGATCCCGCTTAGGAACAGGTTTAATCAATCAAGTCGCCGAGGGTGCATGTGAAGAAGTGGTAAGTTTCGTGCGGAGACTTACATGCAGGGCAGACGCTTAATTTATTTATTTTAACCAAATTGTTTCTCTCACTATCTTCAAAATACGCCGAAATTGCCTTCTTGACTTTGGATCGTCGGTGCTAATTTTTTAACCTTAGGTAATAACCATTCGGAGGCAGTTCTGGGCTTCAAAATATCTAACCCCATTATATGCAAGACAGCCAACACAATGCGGAGCTTTTGGGCAGCCGCAACTTTCACGTCTTTTCTTTTGTAATGGCTTCTTTTAGGTGATCTTATTTAGTAATAAAAACATCCTTATCTTTTTTGTAATGTATCAATAATATTCCTTCTGAATACCAAAAGACCATTGTCAAGGAGTATTGTTTTACTCAAGTTCATAATGATGAACCCAAGTTTAGTCCACAGTAACAATTCGACCATTCTTCTCTCCTTTACAAAGGGCCGAAAATGTGTAGTACGTGAACTTCCTGCGCTCTGTGTAGCTTTTGTGGATGCTTGAGCATTTTTCCAACCCATCTGGCGTTGACATCAGGCATGCAGGGTTTTCGAAATGGTTCCAACCATTTCTACAACTTGTATCTCTTTTAGCCGAGCTCGACGATACAAATTTTTTACCTTTTTTGGATAAAATCTGATGGGTTTACCTCTCGATGCTCCTGCTCGGCCTCGGTTCGTCTTCAAAGCACTCTCTTCCTTGTTTAAATAATCTGTGCCTCTTATACTTGAAAATTTTGGCCGGACAAGAGTCGTCTCATACCAATGACATCTCATTCATTATGGTCGCATCAGGTTTTGCTTGGTAGGGAACTTTATAACGTCACGATATTCGATTTCACTTTTCACCACGGCTTCATATTACTTGGTTGGCGATCGCTCAGGGACTAAACTTATGGTATCCATTAGGCGCAGCTTGTGTTCTGCTTGCCAAGACGTTTACCAGCCTCTAACCCGGCTTGAAAACGCCAATTTTGAAGCGCCAAGACTTAGAATATATTAACACCCCAAGCCATACCCATCCAAAGGAATTCAAAGTCAATTTCTCACACGGAGCTTGCACCCGAGCTCTTCCAAGTGCCACAAGGCTTGATGAATAAATTGAAGGGTAATATTTGTCCAAGCATCTTTCTCAATTCTTAAACATTATCTCCCACCTTCCGCCCAGTATCGGGCGGGATTCGCCCTGGAGTATCCGATTCTTCAATTGGGAGCGAGTTGTTGCCCAGCTCATTGAAGCTCTTTTAAAATCTAGGCTGATATCAGCTCCGCCTAAGAAGTGCAACGAGCGTCTCCGGAGTGTCAAAACCATGCAATGCGCTTTTAACTTTTAACGTGGGCAAAGAGGATATCTTCAGCTCAATAGCCGGAAGAATGCACATTCTTGACGAGTCCTCCCCAAATAAGCGGAGACTGATAGACTACGACGTGGCTTTAAATTTTATTTATTTTTTTCTCAATCAATAATTTGATATAAAACAAACTGAGAAAAGTCATTTTCTCACTGAGACCACCAAACGTGAAGATTGTGATACCTCTGAGGGTTTTAATAATGCCCATTCGCTAGTCGAACCACTGTGTGCCGTTTGCAAAACAGAGCGATCGTCGTATCATTGCGTCAACTATCTCGCCCGAATCTCTAAAGGTTGCGACCCTTGAGAGATTTCAATCTACTTTCCGAAAGTACGAGGAAGTATTCGCAAAGGACGTACCTTAAGGTTTCAGAAGTCATTAGAAGGTACGCTCAGTCTCTCTGGGTGGCTATCGAATAGAAGATGATCTGTAGGAAGACCTGTAATTGAGCGCGATAGTCTCGTGTCGGTCTTTTATTCCACACTGACCACATTGCTCGGGTCACTTTACTCCCATTGACACTTTTTCATCTTACGTTAGCATATATGATTAGCACCTTGCAACCGCTTATCCAACTTGTGGAGCTACAGTTTAATATAAGCCACCTTCGAACGGCCGATGGTTTGTTTTGAGGAGCCTACTTTTCATGTTGCAAATACATTCGAAGGACTAGCCGAGGGACGAACGTAGTAGAAAAATAAGTTTCTATAATTTTTTGGTTGTTAGCCGAGACAGGACTCCACCCCTGGCCTTCAAAATTGTAGTAAGCAATGCTAGCCTTGCGGCTATTATGGCCTAAAGGCATTTTTGATGAATAACTCTCCTATAGTTAGCTTTCAAGTGGAGGGGGGCATTGGTCAAACTCTTCCAAAATGGCAAAAGTGGAAGGATAGTGCTCTTCCGCTAGGTATCTGTGACCAGGTGCCCACACTAGGTTGAAAGTCATAGCTTTTCGATTTTATTGAATCAGATTCCGGGGTTCTTAGTGCGCCCTGACTATCTGAAGTCACCATCGAGACTGTAAACTAACAATCGTCATATCGTACCACACACCCGTTTTAAGAATACTAGTAAGTAGTTTGGAAAATAGCATCACTTAGCAGAACTACTAAGTTTCAAAGTAGTTTTTAACTAGTTCACATGACTACATCGTACTTACCATTATAAACGTGTAGATGTAAAACACCGCTTTATGTCTGTCTTTCGTTATGAGATCGTAGAAGAATACCAGGGTAACCAGCATCGTGAAGCTACACGCAAACGGCACTAAGGCCAGACAGTAATGACGCCGAACGAAGCTAACAACTGCTGCGCTGCAACAAAAAATATATTTTTTTGTATAAAACAAACGAGTAAAATCGTAATCAATTGTCATGGTTGAGAGGTATTCACACTCCCGTACACCTCGCTTACATTTTATACAGCATAATCCATTCTATGATGGCCAAAATTAGATAGAAGAGCGCATGCATGTGCACCTCTATTAGGAAATCGGTGTGGATCTTACGCGCGGCGAGTACACCTTCCGGTGTTTTATCCTTCCACAACGGTACTTTTCCCCAAAATTTTATTTCCTCCTTTTGCTCTTGCCTCGGTTGTGGGAATTTGGGTTTGCTTGGCGGTGGCTCAGGCGGTAGAGATTGATTTCGGGTAAATGTCGCCACTTCAATGGCCACCGCCGCGGCTGTGGACGTTGTGGGCTGGGCACCGATTATTTTCACCAATGGCATTGCGCTGCAAATGTCAACCGAGGTAAAACCGATCCCTGTTATTTGTGTACAAAGGAAGTTCTCGAAGAAAAGAAAAAGAAAAGAAAAATAAACACTTTTACATTTTGTTTGGCATTTCTTTTTATTTTTTGGTTTCAGGTAAAGGAAATTAAGTTGTAAAATTTTTATTCGTCTTTTTCTTGTGCTCGATATTCGTTGTAGCCATATTTTTTTTTTGTTTGTTTCATAGCCGAGTCAGCCGTTTCTTCCTCCCATTATCACATCACTTCGTGTCTGCCAGTTCTGTCCCCATCTAATCTTTCCAAGGAGGCGTAGGTCTTCCACTTCCTCTGTTTCGGACGGTGCGTATTGCATGTGAACGCTGCCTCTTCATACACTGAAATAAGTCCATGCCATCGTTTGTAGTATCGTACAGCGAAATCCCTCAACTTCCTTCAGCTTGCCCCAACTCATCATATTTTGTCATCGTTCACACTTTCACACCCCATAGCAGCAAGGGAATAATGAGTCACTTTGGTCTACTTTTTGTATGTCGAGGGAGGACTTTACTTTTCAATTACCTACTCAGTCCAAAGTAGCACTTTTTGGCAAGAATGATGCTGCGTTGGATCTCAAGACTAAGAATTTTCTTGATGTTCTCGTTGCTGGTTCGTAGATGGACGAAATTCTATACGGTTTCATAGTTATGATTGTTGGCTTAGGCACGGAGTCGCATAGACACAGACTATTTGTTTAATGACAGGATCAATTTCGTCTAGACTAACTTCCTCATCCAGTCTGGAGAAAGCAGATCTAATGCCACAGCTGTTGTGGCCGATGATCTCATTATGAAAGGCATGTGGTAAAAGTTACAAACTCTCATAGAAACTTTTAGACTTTGTCTGAAAAATCGTTTCGTATTGAACGGCTCGGAGAGGTTCTTATCCATTCTGATGTTACTCCGACCCAGTTCACAAATTCCTATAAGATTTCTAAGGCTACTAAACTGACATAGCGGCGTAGAGGTAGCTACTGTACGTGCTATCGAAGTCTGCTTTAAAATTCATGAACCAAAAACTGCTTCAGTCGCTCTAAAGCGCTAATTATATACTTTCTAATGACTAAACACTTATCGATAAGCTGTGAATCCCAATTCGCATAAGTTTTCCCTTTAAAACTGAACAATTGCGCATTTCATACTTATAAGTGAATCCCATAAACTCATTCGAGCAACACGCGCAGTCCGTGAATATTCTTTTGCAAAATATGAAGATCGCATTGCTATTCGCTTGTTTCTACGGTCTCATACTCTATATTGGGGCGGCAAGTGGTGCTGCTGTAATGGATTCGTATCATCGTTGTGAACTCCGTTGGGGGGAAGTGTTTCCAGAATCTTGTAATGCACGTTGTATACTGCTGGGACATCGCGAAGGTTACTGCAATAACAATCGGTTTTGTATCTGTCGTGATTGAGGTTATAATGAAATGTTAAACGAAATTGTTGATAATAAGAAAAAGAGGAAAAGGAAAAAGTGAAAAGTGCGTTTCATTACTTTAGTGACTTTCAAAAACAAAGGGTTAAGTTAAGTTAAGTTGGCTTATCCATTGGGTCTCACATAGACGATAATACATCCATCGGGTTTCCGATCGCACTAAATCCGACCAAACTCTTTTCGCGAACTTAAGTAGTCGTTCTGTCCCCTTGGCCACTGCCTATTGAAGATGATGCAGCTTTTCTAAGCTAAATAAGTATAGCCGTAGTCCTCAGATTGGCGAACATTCACAGATTACGTGCTTCACTGTCTCCATTCCACTCCCTCCCTATATTTGTTGGCCACAGTCAGACCTATATAACAAGCCCTGTTAATAGTCCCATCATCAGCCTGGAGTCCGACCTCTTTACAGATAGTACAAACTTTGTGAGTTTAGTATTATATGTTTTACAAATAGTTTTCGTGATTCTGTAGCTCTCAGCTTGTTCCCAGAGTCTATTCGCCTGACGTGGTATTGTTAATTCTTGCTTTTGCTTCACTTCCTTGAATGGAACTGGAATCTTCGACGCTCTGTACTCCTCTAAATAGACACCCTCCCTAGCAAGCTTATCAGCTATCTCACTCTGCACTCTGTGTAAGCCTGAGTAGTAAAGTATAGCGAGCAGAACTTTCACGCATAGTACCTTAGAACTGAAATCACGATATAGTTGACTCAGAAAGCTTGAACGATCTGAAGGAAACCGAATCGCTCTCCCTCTTCCCCGTAATCCGAGCCAACTGAGGTAGGTGAGAGAGCAATTTAGCTTTGATACTCATGGCGGCCGCAATTGCCGACTGGATAACATTGGGTACTATCACTCGAAAAGCCAGAATTAGAGTCCTGGTTCGACCAATTGATATAGTCCCTCGGTAGGAAATATCAAGCTCTACGAATGTATTTTTGAGGTAGATCAGAGGTGCTTAGCTAAAAATCCATTCAGCGGTTACAAAAAGGCCGATTTTATTATATAGTGATTCTTTGACAATGCCCAGCTGTAGATTTGCTAAACTCTGCTCATCTACCCTAAAATCATCTTATAGGTATTTCACTTTAAGAGTACAGACCAATACTAACTACTCAGTTCTAAGAAGCTGAAACAAGTTCGCCACTTTACTCTCTCTCTCCTTCATTGAGACATACAAAATTGCAGTCAGTCCTCCATGATAATGTAATCTTAGATAGATAGAGAAGTGCTTCCTGAGATTGCTTTGGATTAGGATGTACTAGATGCAAATTCCGAGATATATAGCGCCAGTTAAGCATTGTTGTAAGGACAAAAGTCATCGCTAATATTTAAATGATTTTCGAAGTCAGATCAAGTCAGTGGTTATACAGTCTACAATCGGGTTTGGTATCATGTACCCACAAAACTATTTATCAACAATGTCAATCCAGTCTCCGTCAATCCGTCATTCTATATAGCGTTTGGAAGGGAAAACATTTCCTGGAGACCAATGGAGACAAATGCGGTGCACGATTCAGAACAAGTACAGAGGCATGCTGACAAAAGAAGCCGACCACACGGCCAAAGGAGCTGCTCGCGTCTTTCAAATGTGATGTCTTGAACCAACCCGCGCCTTCCTTTGATTTAGTTTCTTCAGATTGCTATCCATCTACCTCCCTGAAGCTGCACATGGGTGGGAAAAAGGTTTTCAACTGACTAGGAAGGAAACGATGAGGTGGAGTAATTTACGAAGGGGTTGAACAAAGACAAAATTCACCATACTTAGTTTCTGGATATGCCAACCGCGATCTGCCGCGATCGGTCTGGGCTTTAGGTTTGTCCGGTCTGTGGATAGTTTTCAACGATCAACGGTTTGCTCGATTTTACGTTTATACTTCAGGTGGGAGGTGGGGTAACGAAAAAACTGACTATTTTAGGTTCTTTTAATTATTGTGAATTATTCTAACAATATTTTCTTCACACTCTTTCTACATATTTTTAAAAAATAAATAAATATTTTATGGAAACTTCAAATTTGTTTGTTAAAATATTTGCGTGTTTTTTTTTGTATAAATAAAAAAGTGAAAAATTTATAAATATAAATTAAGTTTACAACTGTAAAAAAATAATAAAATTGGTGAGAAAAAAGTAACTCGTTAACCAAAACTCCCGTTCGCATTTCGTGTGCCAAATGGCATTATGGCGGATGATCCAAATCACACATCGAGATTGTTTCAATATCGCCAAGACCGTTCCAGATTCGCCTGCATTGTCTACACTCTGGCTGTGATTTTTTTTGCGCTCTCGATCTCGCAATGGATCTTAATGATCGCGCTGTAAGTGGGTGCAGAATAATTGAGAGAATTCATACAAATAGTTTCATTCTCTCACATTGCAGTGATGGATTGCGTCATTTCATTACGGATTTTTACTACGCTTCGGTAATTGCGCTCCTGATCAGCATGCTGATGGTGACGGCTTTTGTGTTCTTCGAAAATCTACGCTTTGCAACGCCAATTAATTGGTTAATCACCATAATTATTGTAAGTGAAGTGAAATGGTCAAATTGTGGTTTTGGTTTGAAAAAAAAAAACAACAAATAAATAAAAGCAAAATTCTTTCAGGTATTAATGACCACCTGGGGCATTTCGCGCGCTATTGTCGAACCATCTTTAGTACTCTTCGGATTCACTGTACTCTTCGTGGCCGCTTTGTCTCTCATCTTCATAATAATTGGTGTCTTCATACGGGTAAGTTGAAGGTTCATAATTTTTTTACGTTCCCTTTTCATTCAAAAACGGGCCCGAACGGTGCGTAGCATCTTTGAAAATGGATAGAGAATTTCTTCTATTTCAAGAATTACATCTTTTACCGCTAGACACCAGTAGACAGTCGAGTATATCGAGGTTATTCAAAATGGTCATGTATTTTATGCAGCTCATTACAGCCTGAAGCTATTTCTCTAGCACTCCCAGACCCGGGAATGGCAACCCCTCCGAGTGTATTTCTGTTATGGAATAAAAAGCTCCTCATATAAATTCATTGTCCGTTCGCAGGGGGCTTGTGGCGGATGTGGCTATATGTTTTAAAAACTGCCCTTGTAATTCATTGGCTGAGTTCGACAAATATTGACAGATTTTGGAAATTTTCAATCGTATCATGAGCGAATGGACATTGCCACGGTCCACATAAATGGTTCATCCAAAGCTAGGAGGCCGCGTTTATAGCTGCCAAAGCGATATATAGTGTCATGCGCCCTACTGATTTTTCAAAATATGAAGTTTTCTCCAAAAACCCTCAGAGGGTTTGACATTCTCTGTCGAATCCATGACCCTCCGCTATTTGTTGCGAAAAAAAATCCTACAGGCACCACAAATATGAAGAAAAAGCTTGTCTCATGCAGATTAGCGTTTCGAGAGCTCATCTCCAGTAGGGCATATGCTATGTGAGAGGTCACTAAGAACCAACCTGGTATTGTCAATCCAGCAGAACCAATTTGGCGAATATTTTTGCAACAAAATTTCTTCTGAAAAGCAATCCTTCCTATGGTGATATGTAGATTTCATTGCCCGTGCTTGAGGCTTCGATGTGCTAAAGATTGAGCCGTTTACGAAGTTTTCTCTCTAAGACATACTTTTTAGAGAATTTTCGGACATTCCATATTTCAGTTAATCGTATAGGTACTTGCAGTCCATGCTTCTTTCTTCTATTATGTGAAACTACTAGTGAGCCACTTAAAATACAGAGCGTAGCCAAGCAACTGCACATAAACCCAGCGAGATCAACCGCTCACAAAAAGTTTCCATCGATAAATTAATTGTTTCGTTACCTTTATGGCATGTAGCGTTGTTTTTGTGGGAACATTCTTCAATTCGAACTTTGTTTTTGAAGAAATATCGATCGATAAATCCCTCTGCCCATAGAGCACACCAAACTGTGACCTTCTGAGGCTGCAATGACATCTCAACAATGCGAGAATTTTGTTAATTGCTTAATTGACGTAGTCATCGGGTTTTGGGGCCATCTCGTTTTGGGCATAGCCGTCTTGCATAGCGTCTTCGGTGAGCTTGCCTAGCGGTGGGCATTATCCACTAAACTGAAAGTGGTGTGGGACCGATTTATGGTTTCTCGATTTAACGACTTTGCTGGGCGATTATGTTGACCGCTGAAGTGATTGCACCGGCGAAGTGATTTTCCAACAGAAATTTTCAACCGCATGATCCAAAACCGTAATTTTTAAAATATTCTAAAAACGTTTAGACTACGCCGTCTACTTTTAGATTGAAGCGGAGTTCAATTTCTAACCTTAAGTCGTTTCCCAACAGCTTTGTCGGCTGTACAGTTAGTTTTTTCAATTCTCCTCTCAATATTTCCAATGATATATGTCTGTATCTCAATAATATATAACTTTTTTTCAGCACGATTTAACGCTGGACGTGGTGATACTATTCGTAGCTGCCGTTATATTCTTCATAACATCGGTGTTCTTTGTGATGTTGCAGCTTTTGGCTGGCGTTAAACTAGCTATTTACATATATACGGCAATTATAATAATAACGGTACTAATGGTGAGTATTTAATAATATTTTAAAAACTTTAATTTCTCAATCAAAATTATATTGGTTCGCAAAATATTTTAATTTTATAAAAATAAAATGAAAAATAATAATTTTTTTATTATTATTTTAATACCTTTCATGTAATGAAAAGGCATATTAACTCTGTTCCAAAATATGTAAATATATAAGTACCAGAAGAAGAAGTGATATGTATCCCGATCGAATCAGAACGACGAGTTGAATTGATTCGGGCATGTTCGTCTGTCCGTCTGTTTGTATTCACAATTGTCACTCGGTTTTTGAGTTATTTCAACAAAAGCAAACGATCATTTGTCGGAACCGCCCTGATCGGGCGCCAGAGCATATGTAACTATGTGCCGACCGACTTTTCATATATATATTTTGGATCTTTACTCCGTCAGAAAGCAACTAAAAACGCGAAATTTGTTACTGAAATCGTTAAAATGAGGGACTAAATTTATTTAAAAATGAGAATTAATATTTGATCCTAAAACGCAATACAATAAACCTGATATAGTCATGAAAGGTATAAAGACTTCGTTCGGCATGACCGAACCGAACTGGGTGAGCCCCAAATGGTATTGCATCTGTCGAAAAAGCCAGTAGTCGAAAGGAGACTACCGCTCTTGTATGTATGTATGTAAGCATAGCTAAATTTAAATCTAAAATTTATTTTCTCAACTTCCTTAATTGACATTTTTTTCGACATTTAGCTCCATATTTTATTAACTATTTTTTTATATGTTTTTTATTTTTTATTATTTTTTTGTATTTTCTGAACAGTTCCTCATGTACCACGCACAAACCATAAATGGCTATCGTTATGCAGAAATGCGTCTCAATGATTATCTCTTGGCTGCGCTCATTATCTACCACGACATGACGCTGCTGCTGATCATGTCCTTCTACTTGATGGCGAAAATAATTTCACTGTTCGGCGGCAGTGGACTGCATTTGTATGGCGAAACTTGGTTTGTACATATATAGTGATTTTAATGCACTTTTTTAATGTAAATTTTTTTAAATTTAATTGTTAATATTTTTTGATTTTTTTCCACTCCTTCAGTTGTAAAAACAGCACGAACGCAACAAATCGTTCCATCGATTTTGAGCCTTGGCCAATTAATCACACCACGGGCGATAGTAATGTAGCGCCAATTTATTTGTAAATTATAAAGGAATTTTTTGTCTTTCTAAAAATTTGTTGTATCAACGAAAATGTTGTATTATCAAAAATTCTGTGTTTCATTTGCTTGTGTAAACATTTACTAAATAATGATGTTGTTTGTATGTATATAAATTTTTTGGTGAATTTAAATGTAATTTTATGCTACTGCCTATGCATAGTAAATAAAAAAAACATTTGTTATTAATTTTTATTTTAATTAAACAGTGTCAAATAACACCGGAACATTTATTGATCATTATAATTTGTAAAGTTCAATTTTCAGAATTAGACATATATATGATTTTTTGGAAAATTTGAATTTCAAAATTTTTTTTTTCAACATTTTTTTTGCAATAAAAGCACAATTTATGCATTTTCTCATGTTTGAAAGAGTCAAAAGTTATTACACAGAGTTCTTTTTTTGTTAATTAAGTAATTTATGAATTTTTTAAAGCGATTCAAACTGTATTTTTTGTTTCATAAATATATTTTAGCACGTTTATATGTGTATATTTATTTTAAAAAGCGTTTTAAAATTTGCAAGTATTTTTTGTTCTTGTTTTTTTTTTTTTTCAAATATTTCAGCATTATTTTAAGTACATACTTTTTATAGAAATGCCTGCGTGCTATATTAGTCAAGCATTATTTTTATTTTTTTTTTCAATGAATCATTACAACGGTTTTAATTACACTTGCAATACTTTTTTATTTTTATTTTTAATATTCATAATATATATTTATAACTTTCACATGCATATATATTGTAATAGTTGACTTTCTGCTAAGCGTACATATGTGTGCAGCATGCAGACTTAATTTACTGATTAATTTTTATATTAAATTTTTCATAATTTTTTTTTTGTAATTTTTTTGTTATTTTTTTACATATTTTTTTATTTCCTCAATTGTTTTCCATTAGAGTTTCATGTATGTATCTTTTGCATAATTATGTATATATTTTAATTACACTTAGAAATATATAACTATGTATACTTAAGTACGTAAATATGTTTAAACCTACAGTCACTGTTCATATAGTGGCAAAGATGGTCGTTGCAGAAAAAAAAAATTCAACTGTCAAATGATTTTTTTTTAGAGAGGCGGGATACAGCCCAATAATAGAGTAAGTTGTAAGATATATGTATAAGTATATGTGTATTTATATATAATATATTGAAGAGTATTTGCATATTATATTGAGTACATAGTAATAATATACGAGTATGTATATATCGCATTTTAATGCAACAATAGGTATTTAATAGTTCATATATATGGATAAATATAGTTAAATATTGATTATTTATTAATTAATTTTTCAAACTCATTATCATTCAGCACTTAGCCCTTTGTATAGCTTATTTCTTTAGCTCACTCAATTTTTTTTAAAGTTCTATTTTAATCATATTCTTTTGACATTCTTTTGAGATTTTTGCACACACCTTTATAGTATATACGAGAAAGTAAATAGGTATATATATATATAAAGTTTTAGAATTTTATGTAATTTATACATATTTGATAATGATTTAAAATATTTTTTTTTGTATTTTTAGATATATATGTATGTATATATATTGTAGATTTTTATGCACTATTTATTGCTAGCACAGCAGAAGAACGCTTCATTTTTTTCGGCAACAATTGTATGTAATTTTATGAATGTACTTTAAAAATTCTAAATAAATTAAAATAATTTAGAACAAAGCATGACATAACATAGCTTAACGTAACATAAAATAACTTACTTAATGTAACATAACATAACTTAACATAACATAACTTTACGTTACATAAACCAACTTAACGTAACATAACATAACTTACCGCAGCATAACATAACTTAACGTAACATAACTTAACGTAACACAACTTAACATAACATAACTTAATATAACATAACTTAACATAACATAACTTAACGTTACATAGCACAACTTAACGTAACATTACACAACTTACCGCAGCATAACATAACTTAACGTAACATAACATACCTTAAAGTAATATAACATTACTTCACAAAGCATAGCATAACTAAACATAACAAAACTCAAAGTAGCAAAATAAATTTTAAAAATAAATCAACAAAAAATATTACAACTTAACGGAGTTAAATACAGCATAAGAAAGCAAAACATAACGTAAGAGCATGATACAACACATAATTACTTAAGATAACATAACTAGACAAAACATATCATATTATAAGTCAACATAACCATAACAAAACATAACATAACGGAACAGAACATAAAATAACATAAAGCAACTTAACATATACTATAACATAAGAGAACATAACATTACCCAACATAATTTGATATTACATAATTCAACATGTTATACAGATAGCATAACGTAGTTCAACATAACATACCATAAGGCAACAAATATAACATACCTTAGCAGAACGTAACATAACATTTTTTAACATAACGTAACTTAACTTAACGCAACTAAACTTAGCTTAACTTCACTTTACGTTACTTAACAAAACATATCATAAGGTAACTTAACATAACAACTTAACTTCAACTTAACGTAAAAGAAAATATTGTAATTTAACACAAAATAAAATAACAACTTCATATAACGTAACACAGCAGAACATAACATGGCATAACATACCATAGAAAACATAACATAACATATCTCAACAGAACATAACATAAGAATACATAACATAACATAATCTAACATAAAAGTATAAATATATCTTAATTCACCATAATACAGCAAAATATAATATGTCATAACATACCATAAGAAAACATAACATTAACACAACATAGCTCACTCAGTATTAATTTTTTTTTTTGTAAAATATGTATATTTAATACATATTTGTATGCCAGTATTATTATTATTATTAATATTATTATAATTATTATTCTGTTATGCGCTCATATTCAAATTCCTTCCAGCTCACGCAAACTTTGCTACTTACGTCTCATCTCCGAAATTCCCCTACTTTTCTCTCCACCTACTACTACTACTACTCACTTTCTACCCAGAATCAAATTAAATCCAACGACGAAGAGCGCGACTGTGCACCCGATGATGTAATGGAATATTCCTCAGAGCTACCGCAACGCGCCACCTGCCACGCATCTGCATCCGTCTCGTCCTCGGAGAGTGTCGCTGCGTTAGCCGATAAGGACAACCGCGGCGATGTGTTCACCGTCGTCGCCGTCACCTGTCCTTGGCTAGCTTGCCGTCCGCTGGGCGCGCTGTAATAACGCGTAACATTCTGACGTTTCGATAACAATTGCGTGGACACGCTACATGTGTCCGCTTGAGTGGACGATGACGATATTGACATGCACTCCGAAGCGCTTTCATCGATGCTGGGCAATGTGTTTGCGGAACGTAGCGAATTGTTTTCTAAATTTATAAGACGCAACGGCAAAGTGCTAACACCACGCGCTGAGGCTGAAGGTACAGGTGCGGCATCGAAACTGTGAAACAGCGCGGTCCACTGTGACTCGGCATCGGTTGTATCGCTGCTGGGTGTGGTAGGTGTGGCGCCGCCACTCGGTGTACTTGCGTTGACTATGGTGTTCGAGAAGTAATTATTTGATGGACCCACACTCAGACCGGTATCCAGATAACGCTTGCCATGATATACCTCCTGCATGGTATTGGCGCGCATAATGGCGCGTGTTGTGACGCCAAACGCTTGCATTTGCGGCATGACATTATTATTGTCAATGCGCGCTTGCAATGGTGACGACGGCGTTGTACGCAACGATGCAGGCGCTGTGGATGAGGCGTTGGTCACGGCGAGTATGGGCTGGGCGCTTGCCAAGAGCAGCTTACAACCGGCGGACACGAATTGCGCACTCGGCGCACTATGAGCTGAGCACATTTCGTCGGACAGCTCATCGGTTACTTCATCCAGGACGGCATGTAGTGGTTTATTGTGATGTTGCGGCGTTTGCGTGGCGATGCTTTTGCGGTGCGTCAGCGCTGGGTGTGTGGTGGGCGAACTTATAGCGTGTTGACTTAGATATTCAGCTGCGATCTTCGTTGTGGAGTAGGCTGGCGGCGTTGCCGTGCGTCTAGCCGTTGGATAGTCTGTGTGTGTGTGTGTGTGTGTTGAGGGAAGGAAAGGATTTGGAAAGAAAATTGCATGAGTTTGAGAGAATAATAATAATACTTTTGGTGCATTCACAAAGTGAGTGTGTGGAAGAATCGAGATTTTGGTGGGGAGATTTTTTTTTTTATAAAATTTGCAGCTTCAACCTTAAAACACTCACAGTGTGAACACCCCCATTGAATAATAATTGAAAATTTATATGAAAAATCTTTTCAGTTCAATCCTGCTTTCAAACTCCATTTGCGTATTAAGCTTTACAAGGATGTTCAGATAGCAATAACAACAACAACAAATATAAATACAACTACATTATTTAGCATTTGCAAAAGCGGCTTGGCGTCTACACTACCTTGAGTGCATACCTTCCGTGGACTCTTCACTATCCTCACATATTGGATTTGGATTCTTATTCCGCTTAACAGGCGAGGCTGTGCCGTTAGCCTCCGTACTAGAGTTGTTTGTGCCCGAATCGAAAGAGTTCTGCACAACAACATCCATATGAGAGTCCAAGGAGAATTGCTTGCCTGTGAAACGTGCGGAAAAAGTGAAAATCAGTAGAAATTGATACAAGCGGAGAAACCTAGTAGTATTGAGGTATTCCGCTTAAGGCATAACCTCAAAATATATTTCTTTAATGTTTTTTTTTCTTTACCAGACATTAAAATACCGCGCACTCGTCGTCGCATCGATGGTGATTCCTGGTGCTATGAATCCGGTGAAAGATTGAAGTTTAGACAAAATAATTAAAATCGTTTATTCTTTACTTTAAATGTGGACTTATTTCACTTACCGCAATACGCACGCCAGCATAGGTTTTGGCCAAAAATTCATCAGCGTCGAATATAGCCGCGAAAGAACCGTTGACGATTTTCGGCGAGAGTGGTGAATTGGAGAGTAAAAGACTCGAGCCGAAAGCTTCACTTTTATCTTTGGTATCTGTGGATTGGAGAGGAAGAGGTATGAAGAATTTATATATTTCAATAGTTTATGGGCATCCTTAGATGAAATCAGACCCAAGAGTTATCTTAGATGGTCCAAAAATAATTTTTCTTAGTGGTGCTGCCATTGGTATGCTATATCTTTTCTCAGCCACATTTTTTCAGAGCAATTCCCTAAAAAATTGCTTTGCTTTATCACAAATACTTTTTGGAGTATTCCGTCTTTTCTCTTTTACTTAACTTTCTAAGGGGTGTGTGGATGGAATTAACTTAACTTTGAAAGAATTATACAGTGCCCTGAGAGTGCGTACCCCCAAAGCCGTCGAATAGACTTGGAAGACCAGCTTGTCGCAGTCACGTAAGCACTCTCTACTGAACAGTTAAGAACGCACGATGACAAACCCAAGGAAGGTTGGGAGTCGATAAACTGCAATCACAACAGACGGCTCCACTGAAACTATGGAAACTATGGACTTCTGACAATGCCCCAGAAAAGCTAGTGTAATGAGGATTATCGCACCGCAGACTGCCTATCGTGAAGAGGTAAGCGGTAAGAGGTAAGAGGTAGGAAAAAAAGAGACCAAAATGTGCGAGTATAAAGTGCTGCAGAAGCTGCCCGATAGAGATAATAAATAATAAAAATTTGGCGCTTTGTAAGCGCTGAAGCGATTTTCAGCTGAGTTCCTTCTCCACTTTGTGCTTTTGCGTCTTGATTTTTTATCAACAAATGGAGGGACCTACAGTTTATACTAAGCCACATCCCAACGACCGATGGATTTTTAGGAAAAAAAATGTCAGAAATATATTTGGAGAGCTTAAGATTCTCTGCCGAGTGGCGACCGTAATTGGAAAAATGAATTTTCTATAATTTTTGGATGTTGGTCGAACCAGGACTCGATTTGTGGTCTTCAGATTGGCAGTACACAATGCTAACCCCTTGGCTATTGCGGTCGCGCGGGAAAGATAATGTCGGAAGAAAATGCGGGCGCTTACAGAAGATTTCCAAAACGGCTGAACTGATGACTGAGTCTCAAAGTACACTGGATTTATGGAGCGTACACTATTTCTGTCTGCTGAATGGTAGGGAAAGTGACACGTACATAGGTGTAAAACACGATTTTCATATCGATGAGGATGTAATAAAAACCTCCACAAAAGGAGCGACCCCACAGTCTGCGCAAAACATCAAAAAAAGGTGAAAGACTGAGGACCACCGTCAACAAATTTATTGGGTTTTATCAATGTTTTGGTGCTTTAGATCTGTTAAATCCGTCATTGACGAGATTATCTTGGAAAAGAAGCTACCTCTCTCGATTTTAAAACAGAAAAATGTCGACCAATTTTTTGCGGAGACTGTGTATGTCAGCTTTGACTAGACGAATGTTGGTTTTCAAGTGCTCAAGAGCTAAAGGGTTGACCGCATAAACAGGGTCTTTCCCGTAGCCGCACAAAAAGAGTTTGACTGTGTAAAATCGTAAGGTCTCAGTGACCCCTTGCCGTCGCCAAGACGAGAGATTAAGCGGACGGGAAATTTCTCTCGCACTTAAGCCATCTTAGCTCGTGTTGTGTGGCATCTTGTTGAAATCACATATTGTTGAAGTCGTGTTCTGCAGGCGAAACCAAGTCGGCTATCATAACGACCAAAACGCTCCGAACTGACCGTGAAGGTTCTTTTCAAAGAAGTAAGGTTCAAGGAACGCACCAGACGGTAAGTTTGTAAGTACTGGAATCGATTCTCTTCAATTATTTGAAGATTCTCTGAGCCCCAATTGCGAGCTCCAATTGCGAGCCCCAATTTGCTTATTTACGTATCCTCTAAGTAGGAAAGGTGCCTTGTCGCTGAAGAAAATTTTGTTGGACGAATTGTCGTCCACTGCTCGTTGTTCAAACGCCCAATTGAAGTATGTACAGCGCATTGAGTAGTCAGCAGACTTCAGCTGTTGTGTGAGCTGAACTTAATATGAATGTAGACTGCAGAGTACGACATAATGTGACTTAAGAAAATACCAGTTCTTGATAACGCCGAAGGTCGGCTACACCTTCACTTACAGTAGCGACATTTGAGTTGGAACGATGGTGCTTGGACCTTAAAAAAAATTTCTATAAAATTCTACCAATTGCTAGAGTAGTTGGACGATAATGTGTACCATAATCTCCTCTTTAAGGCACGAAAGCGCGTGACCACGTATGAATCGCCATTTTTGTAGTAGGTTTTAACAATTTTAACTCGTTTTGTGGTTGTCAGATGTCAAAATACAGCTCTGTACTTGTGAAACCAAGAAATGGATAACCCTATATTTACATATATATGCATCTATTCACAGAGAAAATTAATTCTCATGTCTCACAAGTTCCTCACTCAAAGCTTGGAAAAATATTAAAAAATAATAGAAAATAAATTTTATTTTTTTCATTTCTTTTTTCAAAATAATTTTTCATTTGCATTTTTCTAAGTATATTTCAATATCCCAACTGTGACTTAGCACAGTGACGTCCGTTTGTAAGTTTTCTTCTACAAATTGGTCTGCATTAATTATCATATAACGCTCATAGCATACTTTTGGGCGTGCACTAACTAACTTATATTCAAGACCGCCTGCTACGAAAGTTGTTGAACAATTCGGCAATAGAAAAATATGCATAAAACGATTTCTAATTTTTCCTACTATTTTTATGAAAATTTTTTAAATATTCAAAAAAAAAAAAGAAAAAAATATGGTCTGTTACAACAAAATAAATTAATTTTTTTTTTTTTTCAAACTTGAAATTGTAATGCAATTTTTCTGTAATTTTTTCTTAATTTCTCTATTGTGAATATATATTGTCTATTACGTATGACATATGTAAAAAAATATACTTTCAGCTTACCTTTCAGATAAACTTTATTTCTATTCGATATCGTTATATTCATTTCGTCGAGTATCATAGACGCCACACGCCTAATCTCGTTCCAATCCTTCACAATATCATCGACCGTTGTATTTGTAGAGGTGACAGTAAAACGTATGACATATTTGCCCTTCAAGGACGATGGTATGCAGTGCAAATTACCGCGATGATTCAGACGTTTCAAGAGACGTTCGGTAATTTCATTTTCCCCTTTGATGCGAAACACCACCATACCTGGAGAGTAGTGAGAATCGTTTTACTTTTTTCACACTGAAACTTCAATTTAACATTTTGCCTCTCACCCAAATGCCTTTTGGCTGGTATCTCGAAACGATGATCGGCCAATACGAGCGCTTCGAACTTTTGCGCCAACCGTACACCTTCGCGTATATGCTTCTGCAGGCCCTTAATGCCGAACGAACGCAAAACGAAGAAAACTTTTAAGGCGCGAAAACGTCTACTTAACGGTATTTGCCAATGCATATAGTCTATGGAGACACCGGAATTTTCATGCTGCAGATAGAGTGGCTCCACATTGAATGTGCGATGTACGGCGGTGCTGTCCTTAATCCTTCAACGAGAGTCAGCAAAACAGCTAGAAAATCCTAAAGAAAAAAAAAACAAAATTTTCTCACCACAATGCCGTCGCATCAAAGTGCACCATCAACCATTTGGATGGATTGAAAGCAATCGAGTCGGCGCGCTCTATGCCTCTTAGCCAGGTGCGAAATTCAGGACAAATGAAGGCGCTGCCCGCATAAGCGCAATCGACGTGCAGCCAAATATTGAAATCGCGACACACAATGCCAATCTGTAATGGGTAATAGAAGAGTATTTGAATAGTTGCTGCTCTTAAATCGCCGGAAATTTACTATGTTCAGTTACCTCTTCCAAGCTATCAAACGAACATGAGCCCGTGGTGCCCAGCGTAGCGCAAACCTGGAAAATTTTTTTAAGAGAAAATTAAAATGGGTAATTGAATTTTAAGGTGAATGGAGATTTCTTGCTTTTCAACCCACCAGACGGTACGAGCCCTATATCACAAAGTAATGTAGAAGGGAGAGAAGAAGAAGCAGTGATTGCGTTCTCAGCTCCACCAATAATACCTAGCTTTCTATACGAAATCGCTGTGGCTTGAATTCGACAAAGCCTCATTTAATACTGCAAACCGTCTGGTGGCTAGACTAATGAAAATTAGTTTGAAAAATTAATTTTTCTATTTGCCGTCACCCCTCGGCAGGAAATGTTAAGAATCTTCCTCATAATAATCGCAGGCTCCTAATTTGGTTGGAAAAACATCTGGACACACATCACAATCGAGTTGGTGGTTATAAGCCGCCAATCGCAAACAAAGCGCCCATTCCGAGCTACTCTCAGGTGCCACTAAATGTCTATAAAGACACCACCCTATGTATAATGTGGTGGCAGAAACATTCTAGAGAACTAAGCAGCTGATGAGCTAACTAAAAAAAACTTTATGATCTTTGTCTGATTCTTTGACAAAGCTCCTACCAAGAACCACTTTCATCAAGCTTTCATAAAAAAAACCACGTGCGATATTGTCAGACAGATCTGACCTTTGAACAACGAGAATAGAAGGGGCTCACAGTAAACATTTTCTTGGAGATTTCATAACAGAAGCTGAATAGGTACAATACAATTGTTTAGCGAAGGGCTAGTAGAGTTAAGTGCATTTAGTAAGTGAGATTTGACCTCGCAAGCCGGTCTCAGCTATCACAAACCGTGCATTTTAGACGAACATGAAATTGTAATACAACGAAAACCAGAGGTTTGGACTTTCGGAATGATTTTGATTGCTTTTTCATCTTATTCTAATGAGATACCTGATCTCCATACTGTGTGAAGTATACTGAGTTCGAGCAACTCATGAAACCTGCAAATCTGATAACAGAAGACACATCAAACGATGCTTCGTCACATGCCATGGTCTCAGTATTTCAATTTTGTCTGGAGAGTGCATCTTGGGTTGAAATAAAAATGAATTCCTTTCCGAAAACCTGTGAACTATATCTATACGGTAGCTCGTAGAGAAACAAGAAAATCGTGAACAAGATGCATTTCTTTGGCTCTTAATGAGCTCTCATGCAACCGTGGACACAAGTACCAACCAATTCAACAGCATCAATAAACTACTCGGAAGCAAACTATTCAGTACTTCTTCATTTCACCTCGACACGTCACTACCAAAGTCTGGATTTCACTACGCTCACACGAGCTCTAGGATCTTTCGCCTTACTTTTCAATTTCGCTTGCCAGGCAAGACTCATTGCTGCATAAATCTTCGCACATTTTCACTTTCCTCAGAAAAAATGAAGGCAAATATTTCATAAAAGAGCACCAGTTGTTCATTCTCTTATTGTTTATTATCGCTCATTTCTCGTTTTCCAATTCGCACACCCTCGGTAGTGATTACTTTGATGGCAGCGAATGTAAGATTTAATCCTCTTTGGTCTGATTGAAACAAAATATGAAGCGATTTGTATGGCGCCTGACATGTGCCGCATGCCGACAAGTCGCTTAACGGTAAAAGCCAACTACATTCAGCGTAGATGCTGAAATTAATTGGTCCCCATGGGATCGGACGACGCAAAAAGGGTGACAACAAGAATCAAAACGAAAGCAGACGCGTCACTCTCAATGCGGTTTGGTCAAAAGTGAGAGTATTTCGTAGGAGTGGCAGAATTTAATTGCTAAGCTCTTTTGCCAAACCAATTTTAATGGGATATAAATGAAGTGATATATATTTTTTGGTTACAAAATTACCCAAAACGGCACAAGACCCTGCTTAATGTCATCCTCGATGGCCTCGCGCAACGCTTTGCCGCGCATCGCCAAGCTGTCGTCGGCCTCAATGAAACGCATACGCACCAGTCCTGCAAGTGAAATGAAATATATGTACATACATATGTATTTATTTGTATGCCTGCAGTTGCGTTTCTAATCTTCTAAGCTGATTAAAGAATCTACACAACACACTCACCTATTAACGCTGCCTTCTCCACACTGGAATGTGCCTGATCGGAGCAGTAGGCCACCAGTCGTGCATTGATTTCCGCATCCTGAAAACCGGGATGTCGTTCGTGGAAACGTTGTATGGCACGCGTACGTCCGGCTAATAAGCACACCAATGTCGCCTCACTCGCTGTCGTCTGTATTACACCGCCACCTGGACTCTTATTATGCAAATGTAGAAAGTCATCCGGAAGGCCAATCATTTTACCCAACCAATTCATAACAATCACTTCGAGTTCGGTACAGGCAGGCGAACTGGCCCATGTGAAACCCAAACAATTAATAGCATCGGCTAGCATATCACCCAGCAGGGAGGGGAACGAGTTGAGCGCAGGAAAGTAGGCATGCATATGTGGACTCTGCCAATGTGTTATGCCGGGCATTATGACACGTTCTACATCGGCGAATATGGCATCCCAATTTTCACCCTCAACAGGGGCGAACTCGGGCAGCAGGTTATGCATGTAGCCTGGCTTGACATCGGGGAAAACGCGGCGGTCTCGTATGTTCTCCAAATAGTCGGCAATATAGTCCACCATCTCCTTGCCTGGTGAAGGGAATCCACGTACATATGCACATTTTAGATATGGGATTAAGCAAACACAAACACAAAAGTTACTTGAAAGTTAAACTCTCTTTGAGAAATCAGAAAGTTAAACTAAAAATGCAATTTCTGTTGATTTATTTAAATTTAAGAAATATTTTGTAGATTTTTCTTAACAACCAAATGAATAGTGAGTTTCAAAGAAGAGTGCTTTTTATTAACTCTAAGGAAGAACATACTTTTTCAGCAGTGCTACAGCAGGGTACAGGATGAATTTTGAAAAGGAAGAAGCTATAAAATTAAAACTGTATAAATACTTAAAGGTTTAAGTCATTTCGTATCATATTACGTTTCCCGTCTTGGTGGTTATGTCACATAAAAAACCGTTGATTTCATATTCCCAATGACTTTCACGATCCTTACTGAGGATCATTTAATCAACGATCAGACAAACGATCGTCGAAAGGGCACATTTGAAAGTAGATATCACCATACGAGAGCAGAGATGAGGTATTATTAGCATAAACTCATTCAGATAAGATAGGTGAGAGTGTCGGTTCGATTCTCGCATTCACCGAACTTAATTTTATTTGATTTAGTTTATTTTTTTTTGAGGAAATAGAAATTCCACATGCCTAAATGAACTAGTATTAGACTAGTATGAAGCTGTTGCCTAATAGCACAATTGTCAGCTCGTAGAACAACGCCGTGTTAAAAATACCAGTTGCTTACATGGAAAACGGATGAAGATGAACTGGTTGGTGTAAAAATGTCAACTAGTTAGATTCTAGTTGACAACTAGTATCTTCCCCTGCAGGGTACCTTCTCATGCCATTCCCAATACATGACACGAAAGTTAGAGCTGCTAGCTGTAGAAATTTTTGCTAAAAATAATATTAATTTTTATATATTAGGTCAAATATCTCCCTTCCGCTTTTTTTTCTTTTGAATTTCGCGGCTATGTAAAAAGCGCTACAACAGTTATAGACGTGTAAACATGGAGTTCGCTAACGCCGAACGCTATTTTAAAGTTTTCCTTCGTTAAAGGCAAACCCGCTAGAGAAACGTTCCGTGAGATTAATGGTGTTTTGGGGGATGGTACTCTATCACTTCGAACCGCGGAGGAATGGTTTCGACGATTCAGAGCCGGTGAAAACGACACCATGGATAAGCCAGCCGGCGGAAGACCTGTGACGACAAATATCGATCAAATCATGGAATACATCGAGTTAGACCGGCATATGGCATCTCGTGACATCGCCCAGGAGATGGGAGTTCGTCACCAAACCATTTTGAATTATCTGTAGAAGGCTGGATACAAAAAAAAGTTTGATTTTTGGGTGCCGCATAATTTGATGCAAAAAAATCTTCTGAACCGAATCAACGCCTGCGTATGCTGCTGAAACGGAACGAACTCGACCCATTCTTGAAGCGGATGGTGATTGGCGGCGAAAAATGGATCACATACGACAATATCAAGCGAAAACCGTCGTGGTCGAAGGCCGGTGAATCGTCCCAAACAGTGGCCAAGCCGGGATTGACGGCCAGGAAGGTTTTGCTGTGTGTTTGGTGGTATTGGAAGGGAATCATCCACTATGAGCTGCCCCCATATAGCCAGACGCTTAATTCTACCATCTACTGCGAACAACTGGACCACTTGAAGCAGGCGATCGACCAGAAGCGTCCAGAATTGGCCAACAGGAAGGGTGTAGTGTTCCACCAGGACAACGCCAGACCACACACTTCGTTGATGACTTGTCAGAGCTCGGATGGGAGGTTTTATCGCATCCACCATATAGCCCGGACGTAGCGCCAAGTGATTACCACCTGTTCCTGTCCATGGCGAATGCCCTTGGTGGTGTGATGTGGAACTCAAAATAGACTTGTGAAAAGTGGCTGTCCGAATTCTTCGCAAATAAGGAGGGGCGCTTCTACGAGGAAGGTATTATGAAGTTGCCGTCTGGATGGAAACAGATCATCGAACAAAACGACGCATATTTTAACTAAATCCGATCACTGTAACACTTTTTATAAAGCATTGATTGAAGAGCAAAAAAGCGGAAGGGATATTTGACAACCTTATATTAAATTTTTTTTTTGGAAATTAAAATACATTTGCTCGTCAAAAAACTATTCAGAACATTTTAATTGTGATTATTATTAATTCTAAAAAATTAATAAAAATTAATCCCAGACTTTAGACTTTTATAGTCAAAATGTTGAGTTGTTTTATGGATAAAATTATAAAAATTTATTTTAAAATCTTCGGCAACACACGAATTGAACCAACTTCGTCAGTAAACATATGATTTTGCTCTTGGCGTATCCTTGAAACTACCTGCGAGCGGTGCGCAACAGTCAAAATTGCACAAAAATTCCAAAAATCGTCTCAGAAACTTTCACTTTATTGCATTAGTCACAAAATATTATAAAATTAAAACTTATTTGCATTTTGTAAAAAGAAAAAAAAATTAAAGTAAATTGTAATGATTCATCAGGTTTCATTTGCATTACAAAATAAATGTTGATGATTGCGTATATATGCGAAAGGCAAACAGAAGAAGAAGAAATTAAACATCTTTTTTTTTGTTTTTGCAAAAATATATGTATGTATATATATGTATGTGTATATTTAGCTAAACTAAGCAACATGACAGAATGCAAAATGGTTTGAAAAGTGACAAAGAAAGGGTTGTATGAAAGTGGAGAAATGGCAAGCCACGCACACATGCATACATATACTCATGCAAATGCAGATATGGAAAATGTTAGAAGAAATGTTGAAAAGCTGATTATATATGACAACGAAAACAAATGAAAAAAAATTGGACAATGGAATGCAAAAGTCGAAATGAATTTTTATATATAAGACGCAAAGCTGGGTTGACTACCCAACACACACACACATATATATATATTATATTTACTATGAATTCATTGCTTTTTCACACTACGCTTATTTTTATTGCAATTGCCAAAGGATTGACAAATTAAATTAAGTTGAAATTTATATGCAAATAATATACATATGTATGTGGGTGTGTTGGAGAAAACCCTTTGCTTTTTGGCTTTTGCTGCTGTGTGGCTGTCACAACTCAGCGTTGATGCTGCAGTAAATCCAATTTTTATATGTGAGCACCCACAGAGCGGATTTGTAAAGTAAAAAGTTTCGCTATTTTATGAAGACAAACGAAACATATAATGTAGGCGCACACATACACACACATATATATATATGCACATAAATGATACTAAATACTTTTGATTATTTAAAAAAAAATACGTATAAATTCAATTTTATTGCTTACCCCGGCGACGATACTCGTTGACATCCATACTGCACGCCTTCTCAAGACTTGTTTGCTGCTCCTGCTGCTGATCCTGCTGCTGCTCCTGCTGCTGCTACAGATTTGTTAAAAGTCAATTGTACCCAGTTTTGTTTGCCCAACCGACTCGAGGCGGAGAAATTTGCGTGGATCGATGTTTTCAACCACTTTTCAGCAATGCCAATGAAAATTTCCAAAAAAAAAAAAGAATAATTCACTGTCACATTAGAAACCACAAATCAAAATTTTTTTTTAATTATTTGCACATTTAAAAATGGGAGAATTCACAATAAAAAACAAAAAATTAAACAAAAAAAGAATGGAAATTTTGATTTGTGGTTTCTAATGCAACAACTTCACAAAAACCAATAAAAATTTCGAATGAATGAAAATGTGAAAAAATTTCTTTGCGCTCGTTGCACCAAGTGCGCCTTGTCTTAGCTACCTTTCGGTCTTTTACCTGCTGCAAGTCAACACTTTTTCTTTCTTTGCCCGCGGCGCTGTGCAAGATTCGTAAGTAGAAATCGAAATTCGCGCACAATACGCGATGAACGTCCGCCCACACACGTTTTGCTGGTACGGAAAAGGTTTCAAGGCGCACACACACACACACACAAAGACAGGCATGCACACAGGTGTAGGCGCTTTCTAAGGTTTCTTGTATTTTGTTGTGCGGAAAATGCGTGAAAATGAGCATAGTTATCTGTTTTCTATTTTTCTTTACTTTTTTGCTTACCAAATAGCAGCTGTGAGGAGAATATGTATGTATGTATGTATGTCCAAAAACGTGTGTACCGTTAAATATCGCTCATGCGAGTGGGGTTGTTGTGTGGCGCGGTGTTGTTGTTTATACTCGACGCTTGAATTGGTTATTGTAGAATGACGTTGATTAGTTGACGTTGACGGGCTTGGAAAAATGCACCACGTTCCACGAGGGGGGTACTAAAGGGTGAAGGTAGGAGAAATAATATAATATATTTATTTAATAACTGCTTAATAAGCTAGAGACGTATAAATATGCGTGTATACATACATATATACATGAATAGATATGTACATAAACAGAAAAAAAAATCTCAAAATAAATAAAGGCAAGAATTCTTGGCTTATGACAATATCTTATTATGGTATGCGATATAAACTGTCAGGAAACAATTTGTAAAGGTCCGTTGCTCAAAGGTCTTCGAAAAAAAATCTAAATCAAATTATACCAATCCATACATATCTACACAGTTGTGTTCAAAAAGTAACGAGAATTTTCAGTTTTTGCACAAAATATTAATATACGAGGGGATTAACAAAAGTTCGATAAATTGACCAGAAAAAAAAACCAAAAAAAAAATTATTTTTGCGTTTATTCGTAATCTTTGTCCAATTTTAACTACTCTACAACATCGCCATTGATTTCAATGGCTTTCTTAAGCCTACAGATCCACTTCTGAGAACAGTCAGCAAAATCTTGCTTCTTAGCTTAGCAAGTTCAGCATGAACCGCATCAATTGTTTCCTCGTTGCTATTAAAGACCTTCCCTATTTAATTTTTTTAATTTTCGGAAATAACCAGAAGTCATAAGGTACTATATCCGGGGATTATGGTGCTTGGCGTATTTCTTAGAACCCAGAGATCGCAGTAAAATTACACGTTATTGCAGCAGTGTTGGTATGGCGCGTTGTCATGATGTTAAAAGTAGCGCCGCCAACCCTATTTCTTCCTGTTTTTCGACAAGTTCTTGAAAGCTTTTAGTAAGCACCGTTTTGTAGTTACCCCGTCTGACCATTTTTCAGTGGAACAACAGCTACGGTTTTAGATCGGGTGCAGTAAACTGATATCATTACTTTTGCTGCTGATATTTGTTGCTTGGATTTTACGGTGGGTTTGCTCCTGTTGGGCTCTGTACCATGGTTTGGTTTCTATATCGTACTTATTGAACCAAAATTCGTCACCAGTAAAGGCTTTACCAAAGTTGTTAGACAGACATTTTTCGAATTCGTTTTGGAAAAATTAAAAAAAAGAATACGCTTGAGCTTCGTTTTGGGGCTTCATTAGCAATTTGTGTTACCCATAGAGCAGTTTTCTTCCCGTATACAGCCATAGCATTCAATCCCAATTCATAAGCAATCTTTTCTTATGTCGATTTTTGGTCTTCGTCAATTTTTAACTTCTCCAGAGCAACAGTGACGTGATAAGTGGAAGATTTTGGTCGACCTCCTCGTGGCTCGTCCCCTACGGAAAAATGTGCGGTCTGGAATCTTTGGAACCCCCTAAACGTAATCTTTATAGACCATGCAATCGTTCCATATGCAATTCGACATTCACTGAATATTTATATTGGCTGTAGATTACGCTAAAACCCGAAGAGAATCACATGGTGAATCCCAATATCAGGCAACAAAAAGTCGGTTATCATGGCGCGATACGTTCTTACCGGCATCATTTTTGAAGAAATGTGAATCGATGATTCCAGCGGCCCACAAACCATACCAAACCGCTGATTTTTATGTATGAAATGGCAATCCTTGAATCTCTTCAAGATTTTCTTCGTCCCAAATGTGGAAATTTTGCTTGTTTACATACGCAATGAGCCAGAGATGAGCCTCACCGCTGAATAAAATTTGGCTCGAAAACGTCGGATCTTCTTGGAACTTTTCAAGAGCCCTTAGAGCGAAGCGATGTTGCGATTGTATTGCGAATAGTGCGCTCATTAGACGGATTTTATTGACCATAAGTTGAGCGAAGCGCGCGAAAACACATTCTTTACAGAACCTGAATTTCGGATTAGCTTCTGCAACATCGAACGACCTAAAGCTCAGCGTCAACAACCTGATTAGACCTTAACGGCGTTAGGAGTTCTCGAGAGAAAACGTAACGATGAGCTGCATTTGATATACGAACCGTTGACATAGAGACAGTGTCAACGTTGGCTTGGTCATTTCGTCCGAATGAATAAAGTATTCGATGCAGTAACCGACGGTACACCTCAATTTCATTTCATTTATTTAGGAACCTTCGCAAGAACATTCCCCAAGTGGATCCTGATAGGTTCCGTTCCGGTAATTTCGATGTCAAAGATGCACCAGGTTTTTCTGTGTGTTTGGTGCGATTGGCAAGGAATCATCTACTACTAGCTGCTCCCCTTTGGCCAAACGCTCAATTCGGCCCTCTACTATCAACAAATGGACCGCTTGAAGGCAGCACTCAACCAGAAGAGGTCATCTTTGATCAACAGAGGCCGAATTGTGTTCCATCAGGACAACGCCAGGCCACACACGTCTTTGGTGATGCGCCAAAAGCTCCAGGAGCACGGATGGAAGGTCCTAATGCACCCACCTTATAGGCCGGATCTGGCACCAAGTGATTACCATCTTTTTCTGTCCATGGCGAACGGGTTTTATGGTGAGATGTTGGCCTCAAGAGCGGCCTGTGAAAATTGGCTCTCCGAGTTTTTTGCCAATAGGGAAGCAGCCTTCGACGTGAGGGGTATAATGAAGTTTGGCATTTCGTTGGGCACAAGTTTAAGAAGAAAATGGCGCATATTTGACTTAAATCGGACAAATGTACACAAAGTTATAATTTTTTGAAAAATCAATAAAAAACCGAGCGAACTTTTTACTTTACCTAATATATATATAAGTTAAGATTCATTTGAAGAGAGTCTCTCTTGTACCTTGGTTACATTATCTTTTGTCCAAAAACCACACTACATTTTTCTTATCAAAACAACACAACTTTTTGCCATTTTAAAGCAATTTTTATTCACCTTTGTTCACTAAACTGTTCGAGCATGGCCAACGGCCATTACCGACTGCAGCATTCCACGCACAGACTGCGTATTTATAATAATCCTCCGAGTCCTGCGTACACAAAAATCATTGCCAATATGTAAATGTATGCGAATTTGTAAAAATAAATTGAGACATTATTTGTAAGAGTATATGTGTGTGTGTGTACACAGCAAAATCACTTGCAATTGGCTCCACCAACGAAAGGGTAGTAAAATCTCAATGTCCTTTGGCGGCTAAGATGCTACAGCAGCCCGCATTGGCCGTGCTAAAGCTTCGTAGAAAAAACGACGAAAACAGAGTATGTTGCTCGTGCGCCAATCAGATTGCAGCAGCATAGTGGATGGTTAACGGTATTCCGGTATACTCGCAAATACAAGTAATAGTTATGAAGACTTTTTCTCGTTAGTTTCACTTACGTTAGTTTTCACTTACGTTAGTTGTAATGCAAAGGAAATACATAAAACGTATTTAAGATGACAACTGATAAGCACATAGTATGTTCTAAATACTCGTACACATATGGATGTGTGTGTGTGTGTGTGTGCTGTGGAGCACCATAAATATTAAGTCTAGTAACAAGTTATCCATTATTTTTGCACCAGTTCGCCTAAGGGATCTGTATCTCGCGTTCTATACATGCAATTGGATTTCGCTGGTTGGTGTTAGAAAGTTGATATTTTTTACTAAAAAAAGATGACGAGAGAAATGTTTACACCAGCATAGAGAAAATACAATTTCTCTACGATAAAGGCGAAAACGCACTGCCGTGGTCTGGGTATCTGGACACAGGGACATCCCCGGCAATTGCATGACAGACAAATTAGTAAGGGAAGGAACCCTACTACATATCTACGATAAAACAATCGTGGGTATGTTGCTGGTTTACCTCTGTGCACGGCTAAGTTCATGCTTAAACTGGGCTACAACAGGGACTCAAGATGGTTAAACGAGATCACGCCTAACGTGACCAGACAGCTATGACCGAATTTGGGCGGGAAAAAATCAAAACATCGTATACTTCTGGACCGGTTCTCTATTAACAAACCGACTAATAGGATGGGCTATTACATCAACGACTTATGCCGGGGCTGTAGGGACGATGAAGAGGTAGAGACCATCGAGCACTACCTCCGTCCACTGTCCAGCCTTGACATCCGCGCGACACAAGTTTATTGGGAAACACTTCCTTGACTGTCTAGCTGAGTTTGGCCTCAGCGAACATTAGAAATCTTCTTGCCCTTATAAGGCACACGAAATGGTTCGAACATTTGAGAAGGTGAAGGCAGTAGCCTCAGCGGTATCACAATGAGCCGATTGGCCTAAGTGTGTTGGGTCTGACCAGCAGCCGCATCAACTCTATTCAACTCAAGGCGAAAACGCAAATCAGACAACTGAAAATGTGAACAGTTCTTAAGGTCCTGATACTGTAACAGCCAAACGGGCACAATTTTGGATTCGTCGAATTCGTCCCGGTAAAATTTACACGGTATGGAAGGCCATTTAACGAAAGTGTCGATAAAATAATGGAAATCTTCGAGTCTTACTGTCATGTGAGCTCTAAACCGATAACACAGAAGTTAAACATAGAGTTTGGATCCACTTGTAAAAGCCTAGATACACAAAGAAGCTGGGTGTATGGGTGCCACATGAGTTCTCGAGCAAAAACCTCATGTATCGAATTTCCAACTCTGATTCCAAGCTGAATCGTAACAAAATCGATACATTACTGAACCGAATGGTTACTGGTGATGAAAAGTAGATCTCTCTCTCAAAACGGTCGTCTTTGAAGTGCAGTGAGCCGCTACAAACGGTCGTCCAGGCACGATTGACGGCCAGGAAGGTTATTTTGATTGTTTGATGGGATAAGCAAGGAATCCTCCATTACGAGCGGCTTCTCTACGCTTTAGTAACGCATTTAACGTGACGGAGTAGATTCGTAAAACGAAAAAAAATTGTTTGGTCTTTGAACCGCAATACAGAAATTGGTGGGACAGTTAGTGACGTGAAGAATAAAACTCGTGTACGTCGCTCTAGAACAACTCTGAATATTGCTGCTGAAGCCCAAAACGTTGAGAAAACCCCCAGGTTGTTTCATTCCTCGCCTTTTTTTTTATTTAGGCATTTCACAAACATCATTTCAAC